CTGAATCAGGATTTCTGTTTCAGTCATGAAGAGGGAATTTGTCTCATTAGAGAGAACCTGTTTGTGAATTGTCATGGCAACAGCTGAGAACATGATCCAACAGGCTGTAAAGCTCCATATCTATCATTAACAGAACTAAAGGTAAACTAGAAGTTGAGGTGTAAGGATCATCTCACACATTTTCACTGATTACTGTGATTGTAAATCACTATTAATCCAAATGAGCATTTTCAGAAAGGTAGGATTACTGCCTCTGGAAATGCAATTAAAAAGTATAAGATCAAACCAGGTTTAGCCCAGGTAACAAACTGTATTGTATTTAGTTGGTATAAGAAAGGAGACTTCCAGAAATCCATACACACTGCTAAGCTCAAATCTAGACTGCTTTTATAAATGTATTTGTTAAGCACTTTTAAAAACAAGGGTTTACAAAGTGAAGCAAACATGACAACACAGAATAAGAAACCACATAACAAAAAAACACCAACAACAAAGCAACCCACAGATGGGACATCCAACAAAAACCCAGACCAACATCAGAACCCAAACATGATAATGATTCAGGCAACATAATAATTCATAGTACTAACTCAGGCAACAGAGCAAACCCACATTCACCTGAAAGTCCAATAAACACATTTCAAGATATTAAAAATTCAAAAGATAAGACCTGAAATGTTTGTTATGAGTAAAAAAAGAAAATGTGCAAATTAAGTTTGCTCGTGTGGTTCTTGTCTTGTGTTTGTTTTTTACTATTTGTTTGAGGATTTAAGATGTTTTTTTAGACTTGTCAGGTGACTGTGGTTTAAAATAAGTGTCCTGAGATATTTATGACCAGGAATTAGACACATACTTGCTTATTTAGACTTGAATTTTAGCAGTGCAGCTACATGTCTCTTCCAACAAAGATCTAAATCAGAAAAACTAGATGATTTTTTTATAATCGTTTGATTGCAAACATAGTTTTATCTGGAGGAGAGGACTTCTTTCAGAGATGGTTTATTGTCCTCTAATACTTCTGAGTTCATGTTTACACTTCATCCATAAAACCAAATATGACATATTTTCCTTTCATTACCTGGCGTATATTTCTGACACCATGTGCTCTAAAAGATCTACACCTGTCTCCCTGAGGTAACACTAATGTTGTCTCTCTGCCCTGCTACAGGTTGCAGAGATGAAGCAACCTACACCATGGGATGTGTGGACCAATCACATTCTTGTAGCTTGATTAGCTCAGGTGTAATTGCTTCCAGCTGTCTTCTCTTTAAGTGTGTTTGGTCTGAGCTGAGAAGGTTTTGAGATCCAGGGAGGATTGTGTCCAGTTTCTGAGTCTTCTGCAGACAGCTTTGCTCCAGGTGTTCTGATAAAAAAAAGAGCAGAATGTGGACTTCAGCTCTTTCAGTCTCTCTGCTGCTGATGACAGTATTTGTTGTTGCAGACACCGTCCGACCTCTGAAAGAAGAACCCATAATCGATTGTGAAGGAAGAGAGTATAAATTTTTGAGAGCTAACAAAGGAAAGTGCAGAGAAACACAAGTCAAAGATGAATCTACGGTCCGCGTAGCATGCACAGAGTCGAGCATGATCGTGGTGGTGAAGGCTGATCTGTATAAAACTGGACGCCTGGTGTCTGCAGAGGAGCTGTTTTTAGGAGAAGCTGATCACTCTCAGAGCAGTCGGTGCAGAGCTGAAGCTGCTGCTGACTCTGAGTTCATCATTGAAGCCGGACTGCAGGACTGTGGCTCTGAACTAACGGTGAGTCCCTGATGCTGGAGTGAATTCTGTTTCTTTTAGTGATCAACCATCTGTTGGTTTCTTTATGTGGTTTGGTCTGATTGTGATTATTTCCTCTGTTCCTCCGGCCCTAGCTGTCTGTCATTTTGATCTCTGACTTGGGAGTTTTGCATTGTGGGTGATGGTGCATGAGGAGAGGGAGACTGGTCTGATTCATACTGTAGATTTGTCCTGAATCAGTACGACATTTAGAGTATTTTTGGTATACTGCGGATCATGCATTTGTTCACATACTGCATTTTGGCCAAATCAGTAATCAAATCAACTCAAGTTTATTTGTATAGCACATTTAAAAACAGCTTCATCTGACCAAAGTGCTTTACAGGCAATGCATAAAAATAAATAAAAAAATAATCTATATATATATATATATATATATATATGTGTGTGTATGTATATAACCTTGACTAATATTAAGTTATTTAAAAAAATTATCATTTGGGTGGTGTTTGTTCTAACATCATGGTGATGAAGGCTCGTTGGAGGGACACTAGAATCACCCACAGCACTTCCTACGATAACGACTGCAGAGGGAGCTCAATGTGTGCAGCGCTAGAGTCCAAGACAAGTTTCCACAGGGGACAATAAAGTGTATCATGTCGTATCGCATTGTACCATACATACCAGAAATGTTTTTCTGTGAACAAACTTTTGAGTGAAATGTTTAAAAATTGGCTTTAACAAATAACAACTAGGATTATCTCTTAGTCTGAACTTTATCAAAGGAAAATGAATTTACCTTATTGTTCACTGTGCTTTGTTTGTTCTATTCATCCACAGATGACTGAAGACTCTGTGATTTACTCCAACAAGCTGATCGTCTCACCTGCTGTCACGTACCAAGGCATCACCAGGACCAACCCTGCTGTAGTTCCTGTTTCCTGTCACTATAAAAGGTGACATCTTTATCAGCCTCGAACAGAGAAGAATGCCAGCACAATGCTTTCAGTGTTTTAATGTGTAGACTGTGTTTTAACAGGACACACTTTGTGAGCAGCATCTCTCAGCCGATACTTCCGACTCCCTCCTCGCCAACAGTGACCTCCGATTTCTCTCTCAGGCTGATGAATGGTTTGTGAGGACTTTTAAAAAATATATTGTTTAGTCAAGAAAATAACAACAAACGTATTTATGAAGCTACAAGCAATTTGTTTGATAGTGTTGAGTTTTTATTTGGAATCATGGATCATTTTGAAAAGGTGTTTCCAAAGGGTCCTTGGTAGCCTAGTGGTTAGTGTGCACGCCCTGTAGTTCTCCAAGCGGATGGCTCAGGTTTGAATCTGACCTGTGGCTCCTTTACCTCATGCGCTCTCTCTCTCTCCCCCCCCCCCCTGATTTCAGACTGGATCTAGTCTAGCTGTGTGACTGCTGGTAGTATAGGGGCCTAATTCCATTTGTAAATAAATACTTTATTACTATAAATACTATATTTTGCCGTTGGCAGTGTTAAGTTTGGAAAAGAAAACCCATGCAAGCTGGATTACGTCTGGTAGATTCATTTTAGCAGAATGCTAAAGACAGTGCTTTTGCAAGTGAGACAGTGTGCAAGAGTTTGAATGCAATGTTCTACTTCAAACTCTGACTTTGGACATACGTCTTCTTTTTTAGTCTTTCAGGAGGTGTATATGTTGCTCAAATAAAATGAATTTGTGTGTGAGAGACAGTCAGTGCCCCAGGTGGTGGGCCACCCCAGTCAACAAAGTCTGGACACAGCCCTGCATGGTATACCCTCCAAACATACATCAACACTGTGGATTATGAATGAATGAAATACATTGGTTCATGTTATAACATGATAACTTGTGGAAAGGTTAAAATGGAGGTTGGAGCTTTATGCAGGGAGTGTGTTAGCTTTAAAGTCTTAAGTATTCTACATGTGGTGATGTTTGTGTTGGGCCTGCAGATGATTGGACACACGAGACGTTCTCCACGGTCTTCTTCCTCGGAGATGTCCTGCACCTGCAGGCGTCTTACACCGGTCCCGATTCTCCACAAAGACGACTGTTGATTGACAGCTGCGTGGCCACTCTGAAACCTGACGTCACATCAGTCCCCAGATACTACTTCATTCAAAACCACGGGTAAGAGTAGCTCCATGTGCAGTCAGAAAGAGCAGAACTTTATTCCTGTTGTTTTGTTTTAATGATTGTTTCTAACCTGTGTGGTTTTATCTTTTATTGTTCTGCTTGTTTGGTTATCATTTGAGTTTTGTGTACTTTTCCCTGTGCAAACATGACATGAATAAATACAATAAGACTGATTTCAGGTGCCTCACTGATGCAAAAAACGGAGGATCAAACACACATTTCAGACCCAGAACGAGAACTAACTCTCTTGAGCTGCAGATGGATGTTTTCCTGTTTCACCAGGATACGAGGAACTCTGTGAGACACTTTCAGAATAAACCGCATGATTCACAATCTTTGGAAATATTCCTTCATGGCATGTCTCCTCCTCTTTCCTCAGATATTCATCACCTGCCATGTGAAAGCTGTAGCCGACATGTGGAGGAGCAGCTTCACTAACAAGGCCTGTGACCACACACATTCAGGGTGAGTTCTTTAGTCGTCAGTCAGTCTGACTGTAAGAACCTTTTTATATTTTAAATCTGTGTACTTTTCTCTTCAGGTGGGAAAATGTGGACGGTGTCGATGATGTGTGTCGATGTTGTGATGGCTCCTGTTACACGACTTCTCTCACATGGAGCGATTTGACAAATGTGAGACCTCCTGCCTCGAAAGGTAAAGCTGTACATCACGACAAAACTTCTCCTCATTAGTAGGAAGAGTCATAAATACTCTCATTCATGTGTCATTGGTTTTTCAGATGTCGCAGTTTGTGGCAGAGTCATGCTCGGCCCTCTCGTCATTTATCCCATCAAGTAGAGAAAAAAACGATTCTGACAATAAATGGACAATGATTAAAATGTTTCTTAGCTTTGCATGGAGACAATGAATCATCCTGAGTCTGGACTGTCATTTGGATTCTGAGCCAGTTTTGTGTCCTAATCATTTTGAAGTACTTAAAGCTTCTCTCCAACTTTTATATTTGGTGTCAAATTAATTTATTGACAAACAAGAAATCCAACAATTCATACATTAAATTATTGACATGACCATACCGACATCCCTATAACACAGTGTTATTACAGTACTAACAAGAACACACGTTTGGTTTATGAGAGGAGAAAATACAAACACACGTTAGAGTTGAATAAAGTGGTTTATTAAAAGAACGTCCAGACTGTGGTGAAGATGTCACATGTACTCATTATTAAAACTGAAGATTGGACTGAACTTAAAAGCAGAAAAGTGTCTCTTCCAAACCTTTAAATCTGACCCAGTAGCAGATGATGTTCAGACTAATAATGAAGTGGATAAAAGCAGAAGATGTGTGAAACCTTTTCATTTAACTGAACTGATGAGCAGGTTTAAAGACACACAATAAGTTAACTGGTTTAGCATCTTTAACAAAGACATGAGCCAGTACTTACCAGTGGAGTCTGTGCCTGCGATGACTCGAGTAGAACATTAAATCGAGAGCATGCGTTGAGTTTTCAAAACCACGTTGAGCTGCTGCTCACATCAGGCAGAACCATTGAACATGTTTCAACTCAAGAATCAACCCTGATTTATTGTGAAGTTATCAAACTGAAATATTGGCTGCCGTTGTTGTAAACCTTAACAAGATGAAACATGAATTCCTCTACTTGTGAAACAAAAAAACAGGACAGAAGGAAAAAACGCAGTGGTACTTACAGCTTTAACTAACCTGTGAGTGGCAGAGACTCTCCTTCATTAAACTCAAATGATCAAGTGAGGACAGCTGATAAAACAAACAGGGTTGAGTTTAACAAGCATATGAAAGGTAACGTGTTCATCACAAACCCTCAAACAAGCATGACATTTAGAGAACATGTGGAGGAAGGGTCTGTCCCAGTGTTTGAGTTTTGACCATCACTGTTTTACACTTTGGGATAAGTTAATGAGGATTAAAGAATTTCATTTGATAGCTGTAAATGTTAAGATATCAAATGAAAACCGAGCGTTTTAATGCTCTGACCAATCAGAAACAGAGCACATTTCAGCCTCATTAGAAAGAATGAACCTGTTTTTCACATGAGCTAACATGCCTGGATACGCAACAACACAAACAAGGGCCTTCACCAAACTTGCTGCAAGTTTGGGGACATGTAGATCCAACAGCGAGCTCGCTGTGAGGGCCCCTGCTAATGAATGAGAAACAGAAAACGGTGAGACTTGCCTCAGGCTGAACAGGGCTACACTGAGACACGGCCTCAGCCAGTCCCCCAGGGCATCGCTACAGGGAGAAGAGAAATCTGAGTTTTAGCACTACAGCCATGAGCGAGCCAGAAGTCATGCTGCTGTACAGTCAAGTCAGTGCAGGCTAGTCTGCATGTGATGTGCACAGAGCATCAGTATACTGACAGATAAAGGAAACATACCAACATCTATAAATACAATGAAAGGAGAGATGCACATTAAATACAGTTCATCTTCAAGACAACAAAATCACAATGTCGTTTATTACTGGAGTACAAACCTGCTGTGACGTCTCGATTACATTTATGCCACATTTTATTACAATACAGATTTAGAACAATACGTTTACCATCATTAAGAACTTCGTCTGCTGAAGTTTAAGGGAGTAATTACTCCAAATCAAACAGAAAACAGCAGAGAGCATAAACAGAGACATGAAGCCCTCACCAAACAAAGTTGGGGACATAAAGTCCAACAGCACTGTGTGCTGTGAAGGCCTCACTGTTTAGAGAAGTATTCACAGAAAAACTTGCCTTGATAAAGGGGGGAGGGGGGGTACTGCCCATGTAACTCCAGCGCCTTCACAACACTACGAACCAAATCTACTACACTTCTACACACCTGAATGAAACATGAGAAAAAAGCCACAGAACAGAGATGGTTTGAAACAACAGTCTGGATTAGTGACAATATTCCCCCCATGCCCTCTGTGATGCTGTTAAACCTCTTGTGTTTGCTGTGTGTTCAGTGTCTCTTCCTCACAGCTCAGTAGTAAACAGTCAGTGTGCTACTAAAACACCAATACTGGTTTGTCTACTAGCAGCTGAGGACATTAGAAAAGGGTTGAGTGTCCAAACCTATTGAAGAGAGGGAGGTGGGCTTCAGAAGCGGCCTCCAGGAGACATGACGGGGGGCCTCATACCCAAAGGGGGGCGCGGAGGGGCTCCCTGGTACCCTGGGGGACCCACAGGAGGGGCCTGTACGTATGGAGGCATCCCTGGTATGTAGCCTGGCATTCCCTGGGGTGGACCCCCATACTGGCCTGCAGAGACACGGTAGATATTTGACTTAAAGCCACCACACCAAAGCCTTTACTATGGAAGACGATTGAGAGTCTCATGTTCTTGATTATGAGAACGTCATGTCTTATAAGATGAGAGTTGGTCATCTGAGGATTAACTTGGTTAATAATAAACCTTTTGTCTGATGAGGTTTATATTTGTTTTAAGAATGCTTTTTACATATCACACACTCAGATGATTTGAATGCTGCTTTTGGTATAATGATGCTCTGAGATCAAAGCTAAAAGCGGTATGCTAACATGGTAACTATAACATTATGTTGTTGAATCAAAGGCACAGCAGAGGCTGCCTGCTATGCCAAGATTTTTTTTCGATGATGCTATGGGTCATTAAGTCATAAGGTTTTATCATTTGGGGAAACATCTCTTGTAAGTCAAAGATAATTTATAGAGAAGCATGGATGAAGATTTCTATGATATTGAAACTTGATCTACGGGCAGGCGATGAGTACCAGGTAAGGGTTGCCTCATGCTGGCCTGCTGAGGAGACATCATGCCACCCATGGGACCCACTGACTGGGAGGCGGCGGCCGTCTGGCCTTGGCGGGGAAGACTGCGCTGGTATCTGGGCAGCTGAGCTCGAAACTCCTCCTACAAGACAAGAAGCAATGGGGAGAAATAAATGATGAAGCTTAACTACTAGAACGTCTATATTTTTAGATTTTTATACATGATTAACATCTTCAAAGGGCCGCAGCTGGACTACTCACCAGTGAGATATCCTCATCAGGGTGGATCAACTTACTGGTTGCACTGGAGGCGGTGAGGGTGGCAGGCTTACTGGTCACAGTGGAGGGAGGTTTGGAGACTATACTGCTACCAGCGTTGGGGCTGGACCCTGCTACAGTGGCCTGCGTGTAGTTTGGAAATGTGGACTTTGTAGGGTCAGAGGATGTGGAGGGGGGGAAGTGAGGGGACCCTGATACTGCCTGCTGGATCTGAGGGGAGAGACAGGAAAACACATTAGAGAGACGCTGCTGCAAAATATTGAAATGTCACAGTTGAAGGGCACATTTAGTCATAAGGTCACTATTATTAAAGTTTGTATTTGTTTTTAAAGATGATTTAGATATGTCAGTAGATGCCTCTTTATCTCCTCGATACCCTCAGATAGCCAGCAGGTGTTTCATTTTTATGAAATGCACCTTTAGAGTTTAAACTCTGAGCACATTAAATCTTTAAAACACCCACCACTGTTCACAAAGGTAGCTGTTATTAACACAGCTATAATTAAGTGTCCAAGAGAAACATGTTCCTGTATTCAATAATCTCAGTCTCCTCTTCCGTCATGTTGGACGACTTAAAGATTGTATTTAGAGAGCTACTCAAAGGAATTTAAATCAAACCATTATCGTGCCCTTTCACAGTATATCATGATTAAATTGTGCCATGTAATCCTGTTGCATTTGATTTCCACTGCAAAATGCCACATCGATGCAAAGGCCATGAAGAGGAGTCTCAACTGGTGGGTCGGGACCCAAAAGTGGGCCGTGGAGCTGTTTCCAGTCAGCGCTTTTAAACATGTTTTTGTTCCAGTTTTCATCAAATTAATCTGACTGGGTAGAAATATCTCAAATGTGAGTTGTTGTTGGGTTCTGAAGCAAGACCAGAAGAGAACCATCGCACCACTATGACATGTTTAAACTGCTGTTTTTAAACACAAGGCAGAGTAAACTTCAAAAGTACGACTCAAGAAAAAGCTTTCATATCAAACCTGAAAGAAAAAAAGTAAGAGCATGCTGTGTTATGTTGCCTTAAAGCTCAGAATAAGAAGCCAGCTTTACAAATCTGCATACCTCTCTATTCTTTGACCATGTTCAGGAGAATATGTTCATTTTGTTTCCAGGTTTTCATAAATGCAGATTTGTAGCAAAACAAAAAGCAATCAAATGAATTTCGCTAGAAACAACAAACCTTTTTAGAATTCTTTTCTGCCCACATAAAGGATTGGATTTCATTATTAATATGCAAAAAAAAACAATGAATGCCCCACAGCCAAGCTTCACACAGTTCATGCCAGCTGTAAAGCAGCAGGTTGTCGGAGCAGAGCAGGCACACAGCTGCGTACTTGTGATGTGATAGAGAACAGAGCTTTAGGAGAGGAAGACTGAGAGTCTGAACATGACGGGTCTGCGGTTGTACTTGCAACACGACTGCCAATCTGCAGCACAGGAAAAGAGTTCAAATAGGAAAGGAAAAATAATGGATTTAATTCTTTAGATAAATTCTCCATCACTGTGTGAGCACACAGAACGAGTTGAACCTCCACTGTTCAATAAGAGAAGTTCAGAGAGAACTTGAGAGTGGGAAATGTTTCACCTGTCCAGCAATGGGGAAGAGAGGCTTGGAGACATCCAGCTGGGCTGAGGGCTGAGAGGCAGCAGGAACTGTTGGTCTAGTCAGCATGTTTGCAGCAGCAGCAACCTGAGCCATGTGTGTGATGCTTGGACGGTGGGCCAGAGGGGGAGGCATGCCTAAAAAAAAAAAACAGCAGAAGATATTTATTCTTACAGAAGCATAAAAAGATTGTCATTTCTTCAAAGTATTTGCATCATTATGTAGCTGGTAGGACATTACCTGGTGGCATTCCTGGTATCATTGGCGGCATCCCTGCACCTGGAGGCATCATCCCGCCCATTGGTATCATCCTAAAAACATTAGGAAAAATAACTGTTTAAAATACCCATAGGGGGTTAATACATTTGTCAGACTTGATTCAAACTCCTAAGATTTACCCTGGAGGCATTCCTGGCAGTAAGGGCGGCATTCCTGGCATCATGGGTGGCACACCTGGCATCATGGGAGGAATTCCTAAAACAAAGAAATGTATTTTAACAAACTTATATGTGTAAAGAAAACCAGCGTGGAGCCTATTATTAAAGTAGCAGGACATTTACAATACCTGAATGCTAATAAATACTTAAATTGCATTTTATCTGACATGCTGCTACACATAGTGTAATCACTGTGATTAAAAGTAGTGATGCACGCTTTTGTTTTTTGTGTTAATATCACAATATTTTAATCTATTTGTCTGATGTCAGGCGTCGTCCCGATGTATACACACATTGCAGAGAGCATGAGGCGTGATTAAAGCGTCTTCATATCCATTTCACTACATCTAGTGTTGACTCATGTCTTGTGTTTCTCACCTGAGTAGCTGCCCGGTGGTATCCCTGGTGTACCCGAGCCAGGAAGCATGCCTGGCTGCGGCTGAACTGCAGCGGGCGGCTGGAAGGAAGGACCCGGCTCGTCATCATCATCGTCCTCATCAGAATCATCTTGATTCTGCTTTTTCTTCTGAGTGTCTGACAAAAAGGGAAAGCATAATAAATCTCTAAACAAAAAAAAATAACAAGACAGCACATTACGGGTATTTTCTTCTTGTTAATACCTTGGTTCTTTTGTTCTAACACTCTTCTCCTCTCGTCCATGTCTTTTTCTGGAATCCCTTCCATGCCGTATATTTCTAGCTCTATATCTGTCCGTCCAGGTATCGCATTAGGAACTCCGTCGATGGTCTCTTTATGTACCTGTAGATACAGTGATGAGATGTTGATATTCTACTCTCTTTCCTATTGTATGATTCCGCTTAAGTTTTGCTTAAAAATAAAATCGCAACAATAGATAGTATGTAATTGGATGACTTGATGTATTGCAATACTTTAGAATCGCCATATCCCTTCAAAAATATCGACACCCATGAATCGTGATCGAGTCAAGACAAAGGCATATCGTATATCGTCCCCGTCCTACAATGGACCATCATTTCATTTACACTTATCCCATACAGTGGACACATAGGGGTATAACCATAGACTGTAAAAAATACATTAAGTCTATGAGTAAAACAAAGAGTAAGGTCTAGACCTACTCCTTTTGTTAAATGTCTTGAGATAACATTTGCTTGATTGAATTGCTTTTAACTAAATGAACCTATGTCTGCCATTGAGTGAACAACAATGAATACGGGGTAGTGCAGTGCATAGTACACATGATTTCATTTGATGAGTGTTTGGTTCATTGTTTACTTTGCTCACCTGCATACAGTGGATTGCGAGCCCGGGACCAGTGTACAGCTTCTTATGGCAGATGTGACACTTGAAATGTTTGGCCTTCTGATGCTGAATGAGAATCTTCTCATCGTCAAAGTCTCTGTTACAGTACCTGAGGTGACAGTTCAGGAGGCTCAACACAACCGAACTGGTATTACAGGAGGACTGAAGCACACCTCAGGACGGGGACACACACACACACACACACACACACACACACACACACACACACACACACACACACACACACACACACACACACACACACACACACACACACACACACACACACACACACACACACACACACACACACACACACACACACACACACACACACACACACACACACACACACACACACAGGACTAATTATCATATTTAGCACTAAAAGTAAATTATTACAAAAGGATACCAGCACCAAGGCTTCATTTGCTTTTTCTTCTTTCTTCCCATGTTTTTGTCTCTCGGCTCAAAGCCTGTTAATCAAACAAAACAACACAGCTTACATACCAACACAGCACTGAAGAAAGTAAAGATGGCGTCCAAATCTCCAGCTCCGAACAGCAGTGTCACAGCGCCCTCTATCGGTCAACACCGACTGGTTTCGATTTCTTCTCGATACTTGTGTTTCTATTTTTATTTTATTTTTACTTGTTTTATATATATTATTTTTATATGTTTTATTTTATTTTTAATTGTTTTTATTTATTTTATTTTTACTTGTTTTTATATTTTTATTTTATTTTCATTTATATTTTTATTCTCGATACTTGTCTTCTCGATACTTGTGTTTCGACAAAGATACAGCTAGCCTTATATGTACTCACATATATTTATATTTCGCTATTCAGTCAATTGCAAATGATTAAAGATAATAGTTTTCTTTTAGCGGGGGATCGTTTGGCCCCGGTGTTATGACGAGAAATCATAGACTGTAAAAATAAATGCATACACCTTGCGGAAGTGATTTAAAAAAATGTTTACATGGTTTTTTCTTGAGGCAGATCTGTGATGAAAATGTATCTGAAGTTTATACTTACTAAACGTTTAATGTCCGTATTGTTGTGGAGGCTCGGTAGCAGCAGGGTTTTCAAAGCCTGAGCTGCAAAACAAGTGTTTGACTCTAAAGCGTCCGTAGATTAATTTAACGGTGGATGCAAAATAAAATACGGCAGTGTAGAAAATGTATCTGACACTTAATATTTATAGTCTATGGTCTCATATATTCTGTATTGACCTGCGAGGTGAATGCATTTCTTAGCAGACATGCATTTCTCAGCATAACACCGGAACTGACATGAAAGTGCATGTGGTAGTCGGACAGCAAACAGAGAACATTTGCGCATGCGCACAAGGCACATATACAGGCGAACAACAGAGGTACCTGCTGCAGTATTTGCATATCAGCTTGTACGATTTAAACAGCAGACAAACAGATCCAAACTACATATATAAATATCTACTAATACAGCGCAGCTTAACGGGATAAACACGATATAAATATCTGTCACTTTAGCCGGCTGCTGATTGCTCCGTGCAGAGGTTTGATCATGTTTACCTCCCAGACCTCGTCCTTCCAGGACTCCATCGACGTGGAGGAGAAGGATGACTTTGACAGCGAAGACATCGCGGGATACAGCCAGAAAATCCAGCTGAACTGCTACTACACCATCTATCTTTATCAAGGCACAAGGTAATGCTGGATACTATTAATCTCAGGTAGAGCTGTGCAGAAAATATGAGGAATAATGAAACTTTACACATGCACAGTGTGATGTTACTGTACCTGCTTCAGGAACATTGATATTAAACTATTATACAGTGATTTTATGCTTCAATTGAAGCCCCCTTATCATACAGGATATCTAACCATCACTGTTCTTCCCCCCCTTAATATAAAGCAGGTCCTGATGTTTATTTTGTACCATATCAGTCAGGGGTGGAAAGTTATGACTCACATATATTCAAGTTATTGTAGTTCAGCAGCTTTTTTGAGTAGTTTTCATAAACAGTAAGTTAACTTTTATTCTCCTATATTTGGGCTACTCGAGTAGATTTATAGACCAGTTATTTCATTTCTACTTGAGTCAACTTTAGTCAGAGTAACTACAGTCCTGTACTCTTTCCACCTCTGGTAATTGTTATACATTCTCTGATTCTCAAAGAACCTGTGAGTTTGTGTTGTCCCGTGTTCCTGAACATGCTGACAGTGACACTGACGCAGGACAAACAGACCCCACACATTGAAAACTAACCAGGTGATCAGTGAACTGTCAATTGTTGTAGATCTGAGGCTTCTGGGGAAAATGGGGCATGGAACCAGAGACGAGCAGACTCCACAACCAGTCAGGATGACTTTAGGTAACGAAGGAGTCACCCGCCGGCGCCTACCTTCCTCTTGCTTTCAGTGGTCGTTTCTCTTTGCCTTTCACTGTTGTATATTGGTGTATCCACGGGCTGCCACGGGACATCCAATCAACATGGAATCAATGCTGTCTTCATTTGTGATTTTGTTCTGATTGGTCATCGCTGCTGAGTTACATGGGCTGTTGGCCTTATGCATTTGTAAAGTGAATGAGATTCCTGTCATAGTCTGGGTGAAGTTGAGTGAATTTTGTGTTGTTTGACACCCACCTGCAGCAGCTATGTGACTCAGTTGTGTGTCGTGTTGGTTGTGGCTAATCGTCATCAGCTTTCTCCATCTGTTCTCCATCGACTTCAGTGGCTTCCCATGTTCCTCGTTGCCTTCAACGGCTGCACCGATCCAAACTGACTGTCTGCTTTCGCCCCCCACAGCCTGACGCTCATCGACAGCAGCCTGCCATCAGAGGCCGAACCTGAGCTGCGCACCTACATCTCGAGGAGGCTGAGCAAAGGAGCTCTGCTGGGAGGCATGGGCAACATCGCCACTGTGGAGCTCAGGTAGTCATTTCACATTTTCCCAGCGAACTGGAATGCATTAGCGATGCACTATTTACTTACAAAGAGACAGAATCAAAGTGTAAGGACGAGCCAAACCTCAGATCATGTTTAACTTGTTTGATTCCATCAGAGAGAGAAGAAAACAAATGTGGCTGAAAACCAAGAAGCTAATAAACTTAAAATGTTGGTTAACACAAACGTGTTGATTGGTTTTTGTCCCAGTATCCCGGAGCAGGCAGTCGGCTGCTACTGCTGCCTCCTGGAGCAAGAAAGGTCTCCTGAACAGCCTGATGCAGACGGAAATGGTTACGTCATCTGCTTCATGGGCGGCTCTGAAAAAGGACTGAATCTATATCCTTTGTGCACGGCCTATTGAATACTGTCCTCATGGAATAAGCACCACCTAAAGTCCTCGAGCCGTTATTGTACACATCTGTTTTTTAATTACAAAATGCCCTCCCTTCATAGTTGTATTTCTACCCTCTTCATGGAGAGAAACAGGTTTGAGTCCCTTTTCCTTGACCCTTCACACATTTAGATTAGAGCTGGATAAATACGTCCAAGGCCTTCATAGCAGCCTGCAAACTCCAGAGGTATGAGAGCTAAACCACAGTGTACTGAAAACATAGATTTGTAATTACATCACGTATGCAACATTTTTTACATGTTTGTGTGTGCCAGCTGCAGAACCTTGAAACGGAGGTGCGTCCCTATCTGAGCCGGTGGTACGAGGAGTCTGTGATGCACATTCATCGGGTGGTGCAGCTGGTCCAGAGCAACATCAGCTTCTTGCTGCATGCTGTGAGTCATTTTTATCACCTTTAGCAAACGTCCGGTTTAAATCACTGGTCACAGAAGAAGGCTTGTTGGAGAGACTTTGAATAACAGGAGCTATTTTACACTCCAATCGTGATCCCACCATCCCCCTCATGATGTGAAAGAAAACTGACAATAGATAAGACGTAATGACACAGATGCTTTTCATATCTTACATCAAGGATATGCAAGCATAGCTTTAATATTTGAGGTGTTATGCAGTGTGAAATATACTCAATCTATTCAAGAAATGTAAACAAAAAGAGACGCAGGATATCACTGTAAATGATCTGTGTGTTTGTTAGATAGTTCCAGTGTGATTTAAGATAAGATGATCCTTTATTGATCTCCAGTGGTGGAATTCAAGTTAAGTAGTTTTCCCTCAAACAACTAAAACATGCAACTAAAATTATTATATTTGTATTGTAAACATTCTCAGAACGAGGAGACTCAGGTGTTTTTAAATGGTCTTTTCTTTCAAATACCTCATTCATTAAGAACCAGAAGTTCTATCATTATCTTAGCAATCAAAGTCTGTTTGTGTCATTTGTAATTTTTCTCCAAGACAACACATTTCAGTCATTTATTTCCTGTGTACAGGCTTTGAGTCACACGCACGTGGAGGTCACTAACTCAGATGAGAGGACGGTGACTGATGTGTCCAGGTGAGTGAGCGGAAAGTCCTGCCGCTAAACAAACCCTGAAATAAAGCCTGCCCGTTGTGTTTTTTCATGTAGTACTCGATGTTTTAACCATCTGTTTGATGGTTTCAGGTTCATCAAAGCAGCCAGCTTGCAGGGTTTGTCCCAACAAGACACGACAGCAGCTTCTCTGTGTAAGGCCATCTCAGAGGAAACTCAGTCCGACCTGATCATAGACTGCTCCACCAGCCCGCCCACTCTCTCTAACACCGGTCAGTCTAACTCCCTGACATATTTTCAATGGGATTCTGCATCACTGTACTAAGACGAGGTTTAAAATAAACCGGTTTTCTTTCAGTCAGTAACCGTTTCTGCGACGACTGGACTCAGGCATTTCTAAACGCCGCAGAGAGATGTAATCCTTTCCTGCTCGGACAGATTCTGGAGAACTTTAAACTGAAGGTACGCGGACAGATTTGAAGACGGATCATGAATGTTTTTAAAGCTTGTTTAGTTTCCAGAAAACGTGTGGCATACTTTTTTTTCTTTTTTTTCCATTAACAATACAACTCATTCACAATCGGGTGAACTTCTGAAGGCATGTAGTTCCTCTTGTCAGATACAAAGTACCCTAATCTCTTCCCTTTTTTTTACCTCGCTTCTTCCTCTTTTTGTCAACCACCACTCTGCCCTCCGCAGGCGATCCAGGACATGAACAGCCTGAAGCGTTTCGTGCGGCAGGCCGAGATGAGTCACTACGCCCTGTTTCGCTGCTGCCAGTTCCTGCAGGGCTGCGGAAACGGGAATGTTCTGCTGCAGAATGCCAGGGCCGAGCACAGCGACCTGCCTGAAGCCTGCAGCATAATTTCTGTCCTGGAGGAGTTCCTCAGGGATCAATCCTCGGCCAAGGCCTGATCGTGTTACAACACATAACTCTAAGCTGTCGGGCATGAAAAAAACCTTCATCTATTGTTGCTCTGCTCTTCCGGCCACAGAACAACCAAGTATCACTTAATTATAGCACTACATGGTAAGTTTAATATTAGTTTGCCAGATAAAATATGGGCACATGGAAAATTTTGAATTGACCAATTTCTGCATGGTAGACTCAGACTTCAAATATGTAGCCGCTTTCACATATTTACTCCTGAAAATTTCAAGAAAATGTCCATCTTGCTGCCCCTCACAGCGAGTGACTGTTCCTGTCAGACTGGAGGAGGGGTCTCAGGAGGCAAGACATGACATGAAAAAAAACAACACTCAGAAACAGTGAACAAAACAACAGAGTCTGACGCTATGATGACAATTTTAGACTTTAGATCAACACTACGCTAAGTTAGACATTCACACTATCAACAAAACATGCTGGTTGCTCGTCGGTAACAGGATATTAACACCTCTGCCCCCGCTCACTTGGTGGTGAATTATATGAGATATTTCTGCTGTATTCTCACAACAGCTCAAAACGACCTCCCGCTTAATTTACCCAGGAGCTGGCAGAACAAAATCTGGGTAAAATTCAGCTGTTTGCGTTTGCACATGCATCCCAACCCTGAACATTTCTGGACATTTTCAGGAGTTTCATTGTGAAGCATGATAAGTAATAAAACACATTTTTGTCTGTGCTGGCATCACGGCTGCTTCTCAGTGAGGAGATCCGTGGTAAGATCTAACAAACGTACTGTAACTGTAACATCACTACATTTAAAACCTGAAAGTTTAGCTCCTAATTGAAGATTATATCAGAAAAGAACAGACGGACGATGATCCCAGAGAAGGCGGTCCAGATGAAAATATCAGTGTAGTTGTTGTGGCACGTTGCTCGTATCCATCGTATCCATTCCTTTTGTACTTTAAACGTCATGAGTGTGAGTTTCCAAACAATGAACCAAATACAAGTCCTCATGTTTTACTGCTAACTGACAATGACGGAAACCCTGAGCTGATCCAAACTAAAGCTACTGCTCATCGGAGTGGATTTATTTGATGTCTAAATATTCCTTAATTATTATTATTGTTTTGTATCATGTTTGATTGTACTTGTCGTATCTCTGCAGAAGGAACTTATGGAGAATGCACAAATCACTTTTCTGCATTGCTTGTTATGTACGCCTCGCTTTTGTTTATATCTCAACCCGATAGCTGCACTACTGTTATATTTTCTAATGAACACTGCGACTGTTTTTATCCGTCTATCAACTTGTGACTTTAATCTTTTTTGGGGGGGGGGTGCAGTAGTGAAGACAAACTGTAATTATGGATACTCTTTTTGTTTTTCACCAGCTGAAGACTCAATGACAACAAACCCGTCATTATGTCTCTCCCTACATTTAAGTTTCTGTTCTGCAATATTCAAAAGTCACAAACATGATCAAAAGAGAAGAAAGAAAGTGAAACATAGAATAAATATTAGTTTATAAACGAGGGTTCACAGATATTATTAGCATGCCTACATTTTATTTTTAGGCTTTCAGAACCATTTAAACCAGTCCAAAGTGTGTCATACAGCAATATAAATGTTGGTTGTGTGAACTTGAAAGCTTTGAAGTAGGTGACATGTAAAAATATATACGACTGACTGTCAGTAATGAGTGTTGTCTTTTCTGTACAGATCGTCTCTATACTTGTATCTGTGTGTTTGTGGCTCTGCCTTGACTAAAAGAAGAAGAAATTAAAATCCACTGTTGAACCTCTCTGTGGTGGCTGTGCATGATGTCTCTCATGCAGACATGGTTCATGGTGTATCTGTTGCTGTGTGCACATGTTGAGATACACAGTGGCTCAAAGTCTGCTGCTGCTCTACACAGAAAAAGGTCAAGCTGCTTTTATATCCTCCAGTACACGCCGTCTGCCTGCTGCTCCTCTGCAACCACAACAAAAGGGGGAAAAGATTCAAGTTGTTACTGACTTTCTGAACCTTTACACGATATGAGATCCCCCCTCTGGTACTGAAACCTGCCCCCTCCCACTTGCACATTACAACCACCACCATAGCCTCCACTAATACTCTGATCCATGTTTTCACCTGAGGAGTTATCTGAGTCAGATGTCTTCCTCAATAAAGAGCTCGGCACGTCATAGATGCTTTCTGTTGGGTCTAAAATGGAGCGAAATAAAAAATATTACAAAAGAAGAAGGAGGAAATGGAGTTAGTGCTGACATTTAAAAAAAAACAAAAAAACTGTCTAATCCCACCTGGAGGTTCATCCATCCTCCTGTTGGAGAGAGGGACATCGTACACGCCCTCGTCTGTCTCAGTTTCCTCTTTAAACTCACACATCTCTAAAAAGACAGAACACACTTTAGGACCAGTCTAGATATTTAACCATGATTGTTCTGTCTACACAACTGAAGTAAAATGAAGGAATATTAAAGCATTGTACGTTTTCTAACTGGTAAAACATCATAGTCTCCTTCTTGTGTTTCCTCTGCGTTGCTCAACTCATTGGACCCCCATTGGACTGCACCTGGACAAAGAAGTCAGTATGAAAGTTTAACCTTCATTAACTTTGCTTTGCAGATATTAAGACAAGTTTACCAGTTTGATCCTGGTAGTTTGATGCTGACTCTGGGTTTTGGTACAAGGGCTCCTCCTCGATGTCCAGCTCCTCGGGCCTGCAGACGGGGGAGGCGATGCTCCTGATCTCATGGTGGATGTGGCCTGAGGGGGCAGAGAGGGGCCGAGGAGGCAGATACTTCACGCTGTCAGTTTGTGAGCAGACGGGTACAATGCTGTTTGTTCTCATGCCTCTGGAGTCCGAGACCCCCGAGGTGGAGAGATGCATGGCTTGCCAGAGGTGTGCCACCCACTCCTGTCTGAGAGCTGCTGTCTCTGCTGCCTGCACACACACACACACAATCTCAATCTCAGGCCGCAGACTGAAACAGGAACAGTCAAACCAGACCGAGCTGACTCACCAACATTTTTCTCTTTCCGTTCGTCATGATGATCTCAAACATGAAGCGTTTGCTGTCCGCTCTCTGGACCTCTCGCACTGACTGCACCTTTATTTAAACCAGGTAATTAATCCATTGAGATCCAGATTTCTTTCATAAGGCTGACCTGGCCAAGAAGGCAGCAGCACACTTAAGACGAACGCCGACACAAATCTTGGTGTTCATGTGTTACTTTTAATGACAGCTATCCTGTTCTATCGGGAAGGTATCCTTAAATGACTTCTTTCCCTGATTTCCGACTCTATCCACTATCTTATCCCTACAATAAAGGCACAAAAAGCCCCCCCCCAAAAAAACCCCCAAACATTTATTTATTTATTTATTTTTATTAACTTGACCTTCAAGTGGGGGCAATGCCCCCCTAACATAATGGTAGGGGAAACACTGTACCTGCGCAACGTCAAGAATGACAGATCAGATTTGGTGTAAAGGTCAGAGATGAGTACGACGTTTACAACTAGTAACAAATCTTAAGGCTGTATATCTGTTTTGTATTTTTTACACTATTGCAGTTTGAGAAACAATTTTCTGTACATCCAGTACGTACAGCGAAAATTGGACAAAAAGGTTGACTTTGACTAAATGTCTTCTTTTAGTGCGTTTCTTTGACGTGTGTCAGGAGGCTTTCAATGTCCAGAGTAGATTCATATTGAAATACCTTGTTGCTGAAACATGCTAGAACACAATCTGGCCTTAAAATAAAAAGCAGCAGATATTATAAGTATAATCTACCTCAAACACAAACAGAAATATTGTATATTTTTCTTCTTTTAAATGTAAACAGAGAAAAACTTACTGTGTAAATATAGTAATATCCTCTTAAGTGAGACTGTAAAGAGAGAAATGTAGACAATAATACCAGTACAGTGACCATCATCCAATGGATGTTTTTCATGCTTCAGATATAGTAACAGATTAACAACTTTATCTTAAGTTGTACTCACAGCACTGCAGTTCTCTTTGGTATAGAAGAACAACGTTGTGTTTTGAAGTCTGAACCAATAAGTCGCCCACCTTATTTTCTACAGAAATAAATAAGCCTTAAAACAAAACACAGATTGTTCTTATGAAACATTAAAGAGATGGTAGCTTACCATAGTGTCTTTTCTTTTCTGCAGGAAGCCTTCAAACAATATTTTAGTCAAATCCAAAGACATGTTTAAGCCTCAGTGGTGTTTTCACAGTGGTTAACAGTCTGATTACCTGTGTGTGTATGTGTGCGTGTGTGTGTGACTTCCTCCTCACACGAGAACAGAGCAGTATCGTTCAGCGCCGCATCATTTACTCACTTCTCTGTTCAGCTTCACAAAAGTCCCAGTTGTTCGTGTAAACAGTCGTGCATGCGTTCATGTCCCACATTTCCTTTTTGAAATGGGTGATGAAACACAAACACAATGACATCAGTGGGTGTAAATGTCAGTTTTTTAAAACCATTTTATTTTCCTTGTTGCTGTTAAATTGTCGTTTCACTCACACATACACAGCTGTGTCAGAGCATACTTTTTTTTTACTGTAAATGTTGAAAAAAAGAAGAGAAACATGAAGAAACACGGTCGTAGTTTTAAGGTGGGAGAGGTGCGCAGAATGGCTGTTGTTAATTGCTAAATCTCTTTCTCTACGATGCCTCTAACTTCATAAAAATATAATGAGGGACAGAGCTCTATTTGAAAAGCAGAAACATAAAAACATAAAGTCATGATACATCTGGAGGACAAGCTTTAAGAATACTAAATACAAAAATACATGGAGAATGTCAATCCCTCGCTCTGTTTCATGCAGTGCACTCAAAACAGACAAGAAAAAAAAAACAGGTTAATAAATTAACACGCAAAAATAAACAAGTGCATGACATCCATGACCTTTCTAGTGTTAGATGTATAAACCTCATGAAGGTGTCTATGAGTATACATACATAATATTTACTGCATATACACATCTATGAACAGAATCGAGTCCCTTTGTGGTGTGTCTGATTATGGCTGCTTCTCTCTGGTCTCCAAACATCTAGCTGAGAATAATACTGACCTGAGAGAATAAAAAACAACAACAAGACTGGGTCAGCTGGAAACACCCAGCCACTAGTAGAGTCTGCCCTGGACTAGACCAACAGATCCCAGATCATCAGAATGAATGAACTCATGAAGAAGTGATATTTCAAACCTGCCCCTTTCCCCCCCTCTACAGAAACTACAGTGGTCAACATGGTGCACGACCTGCAACGGCCTCAGATGACTCCCTTTAGGAAAAATGTGCTGCAAAATTAGAAATGGTGCAAATTCAATGACAGGAAACAACCTGCAAATTAAATGAAAAACATTCTGCGGAAATCCTCAAGAAAACGCAAAACTGATGCACAAACACAGAAAAATGCTGCAAACCCAGACAACTCCACTGAAGCGCTCCCAGTCTGTAGGGGCGCTCAGAGGCACCGTTTCTTTTTAACAAAAAAAGAAGGAGATGAGGAAGTGGCCCTGGGACCTTCAGCTGGAATCGAGTGGCGACCTCTGGTGTTGAAAAATGACGGTAAATATGGAAGATGGGAGAAAAAAAACCCCTGCAGTTCCTCGAGTGTCCACTGGAGGCTGGGTCCGTAAGCCCATAAAGAACATGCACACCTCATTAAAACATTAATTTGGACAGCAGGAATAAACACGTGCACAGCCGGGTTCTTTTGGCTCTGGAAAGGTAAAGGTCTTTATCGCCACACACTGTACGTTCTTTTATAACTCATCCATTTTTATTTCATGACGGATAAGAGTTTTGCATAATCAGGGGAGTGAATGATATATCATGCACTCAGGCGCAACACAGCTGTTAGTCGTGGTTTACAGCCCGCCTCAGCTGCACTCCTCTGCCTGTTTCGAGGTTGACTGGAAACTTGGGCAGCATTTTCAACATGGCCACCCCCACTGCTGCGCTTCAAAATTCCCATTCAGTAACCAAAGGGTGATGTCACTGAGACTACGTCCATATTTCATACCGTCTACGGTTGAGGTGGATTGATTTGCAACATTTGCAGTTTTTCTGTATTTGTGGGTTTTTTTGACTCGATGAAACACGTTTTTTTCTTCTTCATTTGCAGCACATTTCTGTCATTTCATTTGTTCTTGACTTCTGCATTTGTGTTTGAATCTGCATCATTTCTTAGTTTGCAGAATGTTTTTCCACATGTTAATTGTTTAGGGTGTTGCAGGTCAGGTGTCCCTGTCTGCCACCAATATAAACAAAAAAATAAACCACACTCTGTTTTTAATGCATAAAAAAATGTACCTAGGATTTTGCTCATTTGTTCTTGCCCGTGTTGCATTGTGGGAGTTAGAGGAGGAGTTGTGGACTGAGGATACTGCCCTGGTTGGTTGGTCAGTCTTTTTTTTTTTTTTCTCGAGTCTTTCAGGTAGAAGAAAAGAGGGCAGAGTCAACGAGAGGGAGCGGGAAGTCTCACGCTGTCCCATCACCGCTGTTTGAGAAGCGCTCTGTACATGGCGAAGCCCAGCACGGCACACACCGTGGCACCGACGCTCGCTCTCAGCCAGAAGGTGGAGTTCTTCAGATCCGCTTGAGCCATGTGCCTGAGGGAGGAAGCAGGACACAGGAGAGCAGGTGAGAGGAGACAAATGCATAAAAAATAAATAGGGAGCAGCTTGTTAAAATCACAGCGGGATGAGACACCAAATGACAAAAACAAAGTCATGTTTTTTTCTCTCTCTCTCTCTCTCTCTCTCTCTCTCTCTCTCTCTCTCTCTCTCTCTCTCTCTCTCTCTCTCTCTCTCTCTCTCTCTCTCTCTCTCTCTCTCTCTCTCTCTCTCTCTCTCTCTCTCTCTCTCTCTCTCTCTCTCTCTCTCTCTCTCTCTCTCTCTCTCTCTCTCTCTCTCTCTCTCTCTCTCTCTCTCTCTCTCTCTCTCTCTCTGAATCAGGACCATAAAAGATGAAATCAGCAGCCTATTACAGCGGCTTAAAACAGGAGCACATGCTTTCTCGCTTGACATTTGGTGTAGTTTTGGTTTGGAGAACAGGACGCAGATAAAAGATGAAGCGATTGGCTGGGGAAAAGCAGAGGTTGGACAACAAGAAGCAGCTGCTGATTCTCAGAAAGAGGCAGAAAACTAAGAAAAAGAATGGTTATTAAAATCCTGTTAAAACCGGCCTGACCAAACACACAGCCAGCTGGTCTGGCAAGAAGCACAAACACTGAGGAACTAAGCCGACTAACAGTAAAAGCAAGCATCGACAAAAAGCAGAGGAAAAGACAGAAATGTGTAAATCATGTGTCCACCTTCAATTCAAATCGTTTCCTGCACCCGAGAGGTCCTTACTGGTCTACATCACAAACACCAAGACCCTGACACTCAGGAGAGTTATGAAGAGCAACTTTTTCACTCGGTTCACTGCTCCTCCCTCTCCACAAGAAAGAGTCAACATTTATAAAGTATTTGTCTGTTCAATATTTCATATTTAGGGCTTCAACAAGCTGTCAGTTAGCTTAGCATATTAAGACAAAGCAGCTGCTGATGTGGCTTCAGATTTAACAAACTAAAGGGGTGGTATTGAGTCTCTGTGATTGGTTGCTTCCTTTACCTGTCGGGGAGAATTAGCGTCTCAGCAGAGGCCTCCATAAAGGCCGACTCCTCCAGGTTGGAGACGGCTGAAACCTGCTGTGTCAGACTGAAACCCTCCTCTGACAGCAGGCAGCCCCCCACAGCCTCCACCCAGCCCAGGAGCCTCCCCCGCACACACACACACACACATATACACAGCACCAGGTCATATGGTTGCCTGGGTGTGTATGCACACAGATACAGCAGGTGGAGCTGGGAGATATTTCCTGTACACTACTGAATAAGGCTGAAACTAGAGGCTTTTTCATGAAGAAAATCTTCTGCCGATTACGGTTTTGATTTAACAATTATGTATTTAATCTCCAAAATGATCAAGAGAGTCTTTTTGCTGCGATGATTATCCAGCGATGCGTCTCTGTGTGATCGGGCCTGAACAGTTTCAACTCAAGATAACTACATCTGGTATTAACAAGGCAAGAATCGTCTGCACTACCTAAGAAAAGACTAAAAATGTTTTTTTTTTAAACTCCAGGTTAGAAATAGATTATAAAGAAGACACTAACCATGATATCTGTGTTCAGTCACATCACCCAGCTCCACCTCGCCTGATAAATACAGAACTTCACTCAGCACCAAAAACCATCAAAGCACAAGCTCAACCTTGACTGCGTACCTGCTCAAACGTCACCGCACACACAAACAACGAGAAAATAAAAAGAAGCCACATGTACCATCTGTACACACCGCACGGCAGCCCGGACATGACTGGAAATGTTCAAGCATTAAATCTTGTTTTCATCATGTCAAACACTTTTCATGAAAATGTTTAAATTAGTTTTTTCTGTCCTTTGACAATACTTTTTACTATTACTTTAATAGTTTTTACTCTTCTATTTGTCTTTGTTGAGTTTAGCATTTTAAACTAACAACTTTTTTTTATTGTTCATGAACACAAGTTGAAATAAAACCTTCAGATTAGGGCTGTCAGAATTAACTGGTTAAATTAACGACTGATTAAGGTCTTTACTGATGTCATTAATCTCATGTTATTTTGTCCCTTTAGCCTCCCCGTAGATAGTCGTCCTCAGTGTCTCCCTGTAGTCTCAGTGATGTAAAAGAAGGACACTGCTGCATCTTGGAATGTCTCATTTCACTTTAACAAACTCTCAGACAGCTCAGCTGGCGAGTCCAAAGTAATATCCACCTTATGACATCACACATTGACCTTACGACATCAACATTGACCTTTGTTACCGTTCCTTTGAGCTGTTTGACATCAGTTTGTGATCTATTACAACTTCCTGTTTCTGTTTCTGAAGTTCACGTCCTAACCTTCACTCTACTGGAAGGGCCTTACTTTATTAAAAAATAAAAGCACACAGGATGTGAAGTACTCTCAGCTTAAGGCAGTACAAAACATCAAAATATAAGCCTTACAATTTTTATTTTTAAATGTCAAATACAAGAAAAACTGATTTATTGCGATAAACTCTTTAAATTTGGCGATTAACTGCGAAAATGACCTTTGCAGTAACTTTTAAGGTTTTTGGTTGATCTTTTCAAACTTCATTCACTAACTGCACTTGCAAATGACTTGGATCAAAATGTCGTCCAATGTCGAATAAAAACAGAATCTGATTCAGTCAACCGACCCACTTCTCTGCAGCACGGTGCCTTCAGGGTTGTGTTTCGGCTCTTGAGCTGCCAGCTATCAAAGTGTCATGCTATTAATAGAGTCAACAACTCAAAGACATTAAAGGCATCAACACAAGAAAATGTTAGTTCTGGATGCAGCAAAACGCAGCTCCGTCTCAGTCCATTAAAGCCCAACCCAAAGTCTTACATTTTGAGCCAAATGTGCGCAAACAAATGTATTCAAATTTGATTTAAACTCACACAATACTGCAGATATGTAACACCATTAACAGCCATTCAAACCCTGCTTGTTCTTCAGAAAACCTCCCCCATCTCACTCCAAACACCAAGCTTGCGTTACAGCAGAGGTGGATAGATGAGAAACCTATCCTGCTGCAAACAGAATGAGGCATGCCTTCAGCTACCCAGAGAAGTGGAGAAAAGGTGAGACATGCAAGAAGGCGGCATGCAGATTAGCAGAGGGTGAAAACATGCAGGAGGAAGAGGAAGAGGGGCAGCCAAAAATATGACTCTGAACACCTGAAGGGTGGAAAGAAAAACACAAAGACAGGACGTACAAGATGGGGGGAAAAACAGAATGAAATGACAGTACAATACAATCAAGTCAAACATCAAGGAAACACATTTTGATTTTAAAACATCAGCTGGTTACATTCATGTAGTCTTCACCTACAGGAGAACACATGATCATCAGATCAGACACCAATGTGTGTATCCAAATCAGCCTTTTATACTGCATTCTCCAGATATCAGAGTGCTAACAGGAAGTCAAATAGGGCTTTAACACTTGCAGAAAACTCTTGACAAGATCTGATATTTCCAGTAGGAGCTGTATGTGTGAACGCAAACAGCTGATACCCTGATCTTCTCCTGCCAGACCCTTATAGAGTTTTTTTCCGCAGCAAGTCAAAGTGGGCTGATGTGAGAACGCAGGAGGATATAATCTGCACAATTCACCATCGAGTGAGTGACAGAGGGTGGTGACGCTTATAACCTGTGACTGCTGGACGATGCATAAAGTGTCTGCACGCGACCACTACGATCTCTGTGCACGTTATTAAAATGCTGCATTATGTTTCCTGTTCTCCAGTATGTTGTTCTCTGCTCTTTTGTTGATGCTGTTATTCCGTCGAACTGCACGTAGCATTCATAGAAAGGCAAATATTCTCATTATAGCGTCATATAGCGGACTCTGTTGCCTCGTCCGCGACAGAGATTTTCTCCTGCTGTGAGGAGCATGTGTAAACAGCCAGGTCGAGAGAATCTACAGAGCAGTCCTCCTGACATTATCTAGATATTTTCCAGGAGTGAATATATGAAAACGGCTAACGTTATAAAAATGTCAGAAGTCAGAGTCTTTTTTTTTTTTATCCTGCTGATGTCGGAGAGATGCGCTGTATTGGCAGATACATGAGTTCAGGTGACAGACTCAGCATCAGGAGGGAGAAATTATATCAGAAAATCTGCAAAAAAACATTTGAAATCACTGGCTTGAAAACAAAGCGTCTCCTGTAGGTGTCGACTTTGAGGATGAGGATGGAAATGAAGCGAGAAAACAAAGCGAGACTGAAAACATCATCACAGGTAATCAGTTATCAGAGAGTGCTAAGTTATTTAAGTTAGGTGCCGTGCAGAAATGCATAGAAAGGAAGAATGATAAGACTGATTACAATCATGCAGACTTCAATGAGGTTTTCAGTTTAAATGAAGCACAAATCAAAACTCACACTTAGCTTCCGTGCAAATTATAAAGAGTATTAGTCAAGATTTGCTGTTTGCATATCCACTGCAGTACAAACTAGCGGTGTGAATTCACAGATTTAATCAGCTGATTCACTATTAGGCCTCTGTAACGCCTCTGTTATTACGTCTGATGATGGTACAGACTAGAGAGGGGATCACTTGATCCCCTATTACGCCTCTGCAACATTCAGATTGAAGGAGAAACATTACAGGGGCGTTAATAAGACGGCTTGAAACGGCAGTCTTAAGAAGGCTAAAGATTTCCAGAAGCATCCAAAAAAAGTAACCATGCTTTCCAATGAAAAGCTATATTTTTCATATCTCCTCTAATTTAACATCATGTTAGTGTTTTATGAGAGTTGTATCATTGGGTGGAGGTTTGCACGGCACAAGCAGCAGTGGATCATGCATTGTTTCACACTTCTTCCAGCACACGGTCACCTTCCTGGCAAACAGCCGAGGTGTTAGCTGGCACAGCAGGGTCACGCTGCGCCGTGTCAAACTGAACAGAGAGCGGGCCGGCCGGCCGGAGCTGGAGCAGAAACCAACACAGCTAACATGACTGATGTGTTTTAGGTGCACTGATGAAATCTGAGACATTTTTGGATTGGGTCTTCATTATTATGAGCAGGTGTTTGTGACTTTTTGTTTCTCATTTCTTGGACTTTGTGAGCTTCTTGTCAAACCAAAACCCAACTAAAAAAACAACAACCGATAATGGGCAACTCTGAAATGATGCTCAAGTTCAGAGGTCAGCCAGTTCTTATCTTGTGCCTTTAACACCCAGATAATAACTTCGGAAAAAACGCAAACTTAACCGATGAATTTGTCTCATTTCTGGTCAAAAATATCTCATTAAGCTTTATTAAAGTCCAGACAGACATCTTCTTTTCTTTTAATATTTTACTCATTAAGCAATTCGAGCCTCATTTTTTTGCTTTATATCTTGAAATAAAAGTTTTATCAGGACTTGTAAGCCGAATGTCATTAATATTTCATGATATTTTGACTATTAAACAGACAAATAGACTCCTTAAGATTTGAGTTTTTGCGGTGAAAAAGAAACAAATTTAAAAACAGACACTAATGTGAAAGAAATATCCAGAGGACAAATCAATAACCGTGTGTTTAGAAAGACTAACTTTGAACCCTGCAACCCTTGATTACTATTTTTAACAAGCATCACAATGCTGAGGAACAGCTGAGCAAGACACAGCTGGCATGTGGAGATAAGCAGCTACACAGCAGTGAGAAAAAGGAGAATGTCCCTTTAAGACGACAAAGCATCACATAAAGAAGACCTGACGTATTCTTTTCAACATGACTTTGCCGTCATGCTTAATTACAGTTTATCTCGTAGTTTCCTGCAGTGGATATGCAGCGTAAATCTGAGAAAAGGAGCAAGCTGAAGGAAAGCAGAGGAGCCGTCACCAGACCACCAACAGTGTTAAAGAGCTCAGAGGAGGAAGGAGCCGAGAGAGGAGGGAGAAAGTCTACATTAACAACACTAAACTATTCTACATATGAACCTGTTGTAAACGACCCTGCGGAGTTGAGCCTTAATATTTCTCAGCAGCTCCGACTTGAGGAGGTTCTGACACAGGCAATAGGTGCACCTGTTGCAGGCACACATGCAGCGGAGACGGGCGTGGCTGCGGAAAGACACACAAAAATGCGTCTGTTCACCACCATACAGAGACAACACACAAACAGGAGGATGGAGGAGGAGGACAAGGCCGACAACTAAAGGACCTGAGCTAAGACAATACAAACTTCTGAGATGAAGCCTGAACTCTTCCCAGTTACATTCAACCACTCGACTCAAAAGAAAAACTAAAGAACCGCTAAAGGAAACATGTCGCATGAACTTTATAGAGATATTTCAGGGAGACATGAGGAGATCAAATCACAACAAAAGGAGGAAAACAGTCATGATAACCATTTACAGACTCTATCAGGCAAATCAAAGGAAATGCAAAAGCTAACAAAATAAAAGGGATTCATTGCCTCCACGTCAGAACTCTTAGAACAGAAGAAGACCTTTCTGCAGTTAATCAAATTAAAGAAGTGGATTTCTGGCCTGTTAATATGAGATTTAATGGACGCATCCCATTTAGTGCTAATTAATCTACTCTCCAATCTGATCCTAACACAAAGCTTTAAAGCACCCTGTAAGGATTGAAGGATTAACCTTCAAGAATTTTAGGGAGGGGCTTGCATCATCGACCTAGCAAGTGTGATTAAAATGTTTCAGTTTTAAGGGAAGAATCTGCACAAACCAAAGAACTGGTTGAGTCTAACTATCGGCACATCATAAAGAGGGTTTATATAATTTCCTGTTTTCACTGATCTCTGAATACTAAGAGCGAAATATCACTGCCTGAACATACATCCAGGCGGGGGATAAAAGTGGAGAGGCATGGCTCATGTATGTAGCAGGACTCGCTCAGGGTAAACACAAAGGAGACGACACAAGGTGGTAATACTCACGGGTACATGGCCATGGTGGTCAGTCTAGTGTAGATGTCTTTGTTGAGTGCCTCGGTCGTGTTGCATGTGAACGGCTGAGGCGGGTGGAGCTTGTGCTTCCGGCAGAAGTCCTGCGGCGTGAGGCTGTAGTGCTGCCGTACTTCGTGCAGGTCCGACTTTGCGGCGATCACCACACATGGCGTCTTGCTGTCGATGAAGTATTGCTGGAAAAAACACAATCATTCAATGTCGTTAATAAGACAGTATGCAGCCCCTCGTTTCTTTCCCTTCTTCACTTGTGTGGTTTTGGATCGTGTTTGGCCATGCTAGATTTTTTTCTGTTTATTGGAACGACCCTTGTTTAGAGGGAATGTTATTTCACAGGTAGACTGCAGGTATTTCTGATGATTTGTAAAGAGTAGTGCAGTCAGTGCAGAGCGAACATCTGGCTGTCCATCTACAAGGTTAAATGAATTCCATCTCCTCCCCCTCCTCTCCCAGTGTCCCACTTGAGAGCTTAGTGTAGGTGAACGAAGGGAGGTGAATATACTAACAAAATGAAGCTAATGTAGAAAGCAGCGGTGCATCTGATGAACATTTAACCATCTACTGAAACATACCTTGTACACTTTGGCGCAGTATTCAAAAGAACGAGGATTGTTGACGTCAAACACCAGGCACACCACGTCGCAGGCGAGGTCGGCCTCGGACAGAAAGTCAAAATCTGGCATCACCTCGTGGAGCTTGTAGTGAGAGGGAGAGACAGAGAGTGCAGACGGAGGGATTAACGTTTTCGCTGGGATTCACAGTTTAATGCAACAGGCAGATTACGCAACAGTAAATCCAGAAAAAAAAGCAGATGATGAGTGAATGTTTCTCACCAGCAGGTACTTCTCCTGCCCATAAACGTAGGTAGTGCTGATGGCGTAGAGGGACTTGTGGTCTTCTCTGATCCGCCTCTGTTGCTGTGGTGGAAAATGAAACAGGACACCATCAAGATTTATATTAGAAATTGATTGGAGTCTGTTCTCTTTGACTTCTGCTTTGGTGCAAATTAAAGTGACGACAGATGCAATGGAGAGGCATGCCACACCAGCAGCCTGCTGGAGGTCATTTTGTAGAACTCTGCCTGTGCCCCTCCAGTTCCTCCCTCCTCCTCCTCCTCTCCTCCTTTTATTCTTTTGCCTTTCCATTTCATCTGTTGTTATTTTTATTTTCACTAAAGCAGCTGAAACTGATTTACAATCACTTGTGCTTCCTAAATGGACAGATTGATATCCATGACGTTTAACTGACTTGGTGTTATAGTGTGATGAATAACAGCTCCTGTAACTTCATGTCCAGTGTAGTTTCCCATTAAAAAATAGTTCAAAACCACAGATAAAAGAACAGACTTCTAGGGGAAAGATTTGCAGTTTTGATATCCACTGACCTGCAGGTCTTTGCCCAAAAAAGCTTGGAGGAAGCCACTCTTCCCGCTGCCTCTAGCGCCCAAGACGTTGCAGCGGAAGACGCTGCGCTGTGTCTGTTTCTTCTGCAGATCGATGCGCTTGTTACGCGTCACTGAAAGAAAAGATGTTTAACAAAAAGCAAGCTTCACTGCCGATGTTCTTTCATTCTGTGCAGAAATGGGTTGTTGAGCTGCTTCAGGTTTCCTCACCTGTCATGGCTGCTGCCTGGGACTCCTGTTCATAGATGATAGAGTAACCAAGGTAACCTAAATACTCCAAACTCCGCTGCACATCTAGGTATGTTGTTAACCTGCAGCAGAAAACAGAAACATCATGATGAGTCACATTGTTATTATTTACATTTGTAAAAGACTGTGTGTATTTTTTGATGTAAATGCTTCATACGTGTGAACTCATTCAGGTTGTGTAAAACTAAAATAGGAGTGAGTGTGTGTGTGTCTGGGTGTGTGTGTGTATTTATAGAAATGTTCCACACTCACGTCCACTGCGAGAGGTATCCCTGGTATGTGATCCATCCCTGGTCGTTAGTGCACACTGTGTTGTTGACATCCGGCCCCCATGGCATGTAGGGAAACACTTTGAACAAGTCCTTCACCTCCTCCGGCGACAGCGCACAATCTCTATCCTGGATCATAGCACAGAGTGACAAGTGTGTACAGCAGTCCACTTTCAAACTTGACATGTCATTTAAATATAAAAATGTCTGTAAGTTCAACATTTCTAAGCGCTCACTTTGTCGTGTTTGTCAAAGACACTCTGGAGAAAGAGGTACGCGTTGTGGTTCAGCTCTGTGGTGCAGTCAGGGGGGATCTTTATCCTGCATCAGAGGAACACACAGATCAATTATTTAACAGAAACATCAGCAGCATTTACGTAATATCACTTAATTTTTTAGGGATGCATCAATCGGTTCAATGCCGATGTTTATTTGTTGTGCCAAAACAATTTAATGCTGACATCTAGTGCAGCTAACTACTGATTCAGAGAAGAGGGGTTTTTTTTGGGCAGGGAAGTCAGCTGTTGGACAAACTCTGACTTGTTTTCATGTCAAACATGAGAGAAAAAGTCGGCCTTGTGCGAGTCCGACACCAAAAGAAGTCATGAAAGAAATATCGGAATCCAAATTTTTAAATTGGCTAAATTGTAACTTCAAACATCGGTATCGGCATTGTCTCTGATTATCCTGATCGGTGCATCTCTACTCAGTTTCAAATGAACCTGCACAATAATTATAAACTAGCTCGATTCACTTTCAATTGAAAAGGTTAAAAAAAAGAATTCTTACAGAAGATGAAACGAGGAACGAACGATCAGACAAAATATTAAAATATTTCTGTGGGCTGGATTCTTGAACAAGCTGGAATATATAACGTTTTATTTGACAACATTTTTAGAGCTTTTAAGTTTAAGTAAAACTCATGCATTGTCTCAACAGTTACAGAAAAATTCTCATAGTTTCCTCCTAACAGGACGATAAAAATTATCAAACATGTGGATTTGATCTCTTTAGCATCAGATGTTAGACGATAAAGATCAGAATTTGTTATTTTTCCTTATCTCCTTCTGCTGAATAAAAGTCTAGCAGGACTTTTTAATTTTTTGAAACATATTTTACTGACTTAACACTTGAGCGATTAATTAGAAAATCACCTGCAAAACTTTTCATGAGCTAAGGAATTGTCAGGAGTCGCCCCTACAGATTTTAAATCTGACAAACAAAAGGGAGCTTAGGTTCTCAAGGTGTCATCGTTCATAAACTCCTCACAGTGAGGTCATCAAACACGCGTCTTACTGAAGCGATGCAGACATTTGTCCCAGCATCTCACTCTGTCCCGTCCCCTCTTTCCCTTCACATAAAATATAATCCTGTTTGAATCTGTGCTTACAAGGGGAACAGGTATTCCTGTGTGAGCTCCAGGTCATCGTCATAGCCAAACCGCCTCAGCACAGTCCAGGTGGTCTCGTGTCGCCCTCGCTGTATGAAGAGCGTGTGCAGGAACAGGAAGCCTGCAGCAAAGAGCCAATCACAGAAGAACAACAGATCAAGGATTGTCTTTAAAAAAAAAAAAAAAAAAAAAGTCAGACAAGAGGGAACAAGAAGAGGAATCAGAAAACAGGATTTTGTCCGACCTTTGAGAGAGAGTCCATTGTCCTTGACTCCGTCTGTCATGTTTCTCCTGACCACATTTTTCACGTCCTCTAAGGCTTGAGGTGCCAGAGGTGTATTAAAACACGTTCTCTGCAAACACAAGCAACAATAAAACATTTGTTTTTCTTCATCATGTTTTAACACGTTATCTTAAACCAGCGTAGCAGTTTGGCACTTATCCTCCTCTACACCGATGAACAGGACGCGACATGATTACTAACTGGAGGTGATGCAAGACAAGCAAACGTCCCATACTTTCACTTTCTTCAATGAGGATAACCTTACCTACCCAGTGTGGATAAACAACTACTACATTTACATTTGCTGAGGTAGGAATCAAAACCCTACTCGACCTTTCCGGTTGAGAAACAACCAACTCTTCCGCTGAGCCACAGTCAGACCGTTAAGTGGAAGACGTTACCTGGAAGAAGTTGAGCTCGTTGTCGTTAAGGATGCCGTCGTTGTCCAGGTCAGACACTTTGAAAATTCTAGTTAAAGCCTTAATGCAAGATGGTTTCAACTGTAACAACAAAGAAATGTGATTTGTTAGGTGATGCAATGATGCAGAAACAACACAGAAATATTTCAGTGTATTAAAGAACTCAGGAATGCAATATTAACTTGTCCAGTATCTCCTCCATTCGTTGTTAAAATCTGATCTATTTGTACAGTATGTCACCAAAGGAAAATGTGTGCTGCATGTGCATCGACTGAAGACCTCACCTCCTTCTCCTCCGGGCAGTAAAGGGGTCCCGTCGGGTGGAGAACAGCCTTCTGGGCGTAGTAAAACAGCTCGGAAATGTTCTTCAGATTTTTGGCAGAGCACTAACGAGGAAAGAAAGAAAGAAAGAGAGAAAGAGAGAGGGCCATGTGTGAGTGTTGATGCCCTGACCAAGAAAAACTCTCAGGGAATGACAAGGTACCTAATTACTTTAATTTCCAAAAAAGGCTTAGAGATTATTTGCAAGACGGTACAGTATGGAAAGTAGCTTTTTACTTAAGCTGCTGAGCAGATTTAAAACCATAAAAATCACCAAACACGAGGACTTTGACACAAAGACGATTAACAGTCAGGATAAAATAATGCAGATGTGTATGAAAGAAATGTACAAAAGTTAAAAGAATTAGGACAACGACTCCAGCACTGAGTCTGCAGTTCAACATCAGTTCACTCTTTCAATCCAGTCCAACTCTCACCAGCTGATTCGGTGTGTGCCGTCTCTCACGTCCGCCTCATGCTCCCTTTTTTAACTTTGTAAGTGATCCACCTGAGCAGAGCATGACTGAGCGGTCTCATGCTACAGAGGGAGATTTGAATTAAGCTGAAACACAGACGGAGGCAGGCTTCCTCCCTGGCAGCAGAACCTCTCAGCACACTCAACACAGTCCATCAGAGCGCCCGGAGTTCGGTGATATAAATCTATTAATGACTCTGAGTGTAAGAGGAGTCAGGAGCAGACAGAAAGCTCTGACAGATTTATTCAATGTCAACACTCTCAGGTGCTTCATCGAGGTTTACCTCAACATTTACACAAACAGCCTCAATGCATCCAAAAGACTCTGAACTGCACATGTGTTTTTGCGCATATTATCTCATACCTCTACACAGGTCTCGATGTCCTGGTACTGATTCATGATTGGCAGAATTGTCTCCATGCTGCTGTGTTCCACCAGGTCCGACTTGTTCCCAACGAGGATCAATGGTACCCTGCAACAAAACCATTCATCAATGCAGGATAGAGCCAAAGCAATTATCAATTAGTCTATGTTTTTTAGCTGAATATCTTTGGGAGGTTTTGGGAAGTTTGATGGACCAAAAAAATAATTCAATGATGTAAACAAGCCCGCTGAGAATATGCAAAGGCTATTTATCTCTTTATGAACAAAAACATTTGATTGAAAAAAACGCTCGCTCAGCAGCTGCACGTTATGCCATTTCAGCTGACGTGACCTACAGAGGAGACTGACACACATTCACTCAAAACACACATCTATATAGTAACTTGAACGCACCTGCTATCCTTGTCCGTCCTGTCATTTATGAGGGGGATCCAGTGGCTTGTCACCTGAGGGGAGTAAATCACAACATCAAACACATTCACACGCAGCTCGAGTTGTGTCCCGATTCAAACAGCGACATGGCAACAGCTTTGAATGTGAGGACAACGACGCTCACCTTTTCGATGGACTTCTTGTTGTTGACCGAGTAAACTATGCAGATCACATTAGCCTGTCAAGACGAATGAAAATATTAAGTTTGGGATTCACACAGAAAATAAAAAACAGAGTGCAGACGATGACGTCAAACCCACCTTTGATATTTCTTGAAACAGCTGCTCATCTGATTGTTCAGCTTCTGGAGGGGTCAGAAAGCCACATATGTTCAATGTCATAAAATGTATCAGGCCATACAACAACCTGTTCTTATTCATAGGGAGGAGGGACCATTACACATTGGATTGGCCTTTATACAGCCAATTCAAGTCAAATATAGTCAACATAAAGCTGCATTTCATAACCCTCTATTGTCTGTTTCATGACCTATTTCTTGAGTTTAAAAGAAAAGGGTGGTTGGAGGAGAATATTACACGAGGAGGAATTTGATTTTAACATGAAAAACAGGCTGAACATCCAAGATCACTCAGACCTTTGTAAGCTTGATGACGGCTTAAAGATGAAGATCGATTAAGACGTGGATGTCTCTATGTGTTACTGGGCTAAATTAGTTGAGTCAAGCTTAATTAATGCACCCACTCATATTGTGTCTTCATGAAATATATTCTTAAATAGATGCATAACAGATTAAAGGGTTAAAAATGCATTTTATTTACCCTATCTTAGGAATGATCTTAATACAGACATCATAACTGCAGACTGTGTGTTTGTGCAGTAAGGTGAAGAGTTTACCTGAGTAGTCCACGATGTGTGTGGGCACCCTCTCCGGGGTGACATCAGCTGGGATGGTGATCTCCTCCGCCCGGAGAGGAACCTATCAAGCAAGCGTGAACTTACATCACAACATGCATCATTTATATTTTGCATTTTAACAATTATGATTAACAGCTACCAGGATGATTTATACAACGTCTGTCATGTGACACGTACCTCATCAGGAAACTCCTCGCTCACCAGAGACATTATCAGCGAGGTCTTCCCCACCTTGGCTGTAAGGGTAAAAAAAAAGGTTTTTTAAAGGCACGCTTCTACCTCTGATGATGAGCGTTAGCATGCTACCTCTACATTTTCTGGTGATGTGTTGAGTGACAGGAGGACACAGATCAAAGAAGCTCAACGGGTTTGGACTAACAGTGAAGTGCAAAGACTCTGAAAGAAGCTTTTAAAAAACTAAAGACTCAGTTCAGGCCAAAGTGGAGAAACGTGGTCTTGAATTAAGTCCATTAAGGAGAGATTTAATAAAGAGACGCACAGTCACTCAAAATCAACTTACTTGACCGATAAAGGCCTGCAGTTACACTTAAAGATTCCCAATCGTGCATTAGGTCATGTCAGAGTCTAACGTCATAAAGTCACATTTTATTCATTGTTATTGGATATATCAACATTTCCTCAGTCTCAGTCAAAGGATTCATCAAAATAAAAGTCTGTCAAACGACACAGAGACAGGCCGTACCCTTTCTCCGTTTATAACAAGTATAATTATTAGAACTATTTCAGAGTCACTGAACCAGCAGGAAAGCAAAAACTCTGTTCTGTTCACATCTCATTGAAAAGATTGTTTTGGCTTTATATCGAAAATTGACGGCTTTTGGACTTTTTGTTGAACAAAACCTGTGATCTGATGAAGTCTCTTTGGTCTCTGAGAGCTTGTGATGCTCCTTTATCACATTTAAGAGACCAAAAGAAATCACGATCTATAAATCTGAATCAATGATTCAAATATCTCTTCTTGATACTTAGCATTACACCTCTGTGATTTTTAAACGCTCTCTGAGTAACCCTGCAAACTGAGCTCTACTTAACTTCACAACGACGAAGAAGTCACGTAGCATTCTGCCTGAATGTCTCTCTGGAACAGTCGTACCAACTTGCCTAATGTGGCAATGTAGGCCACCCTGCAGAGCCACAACCGAAATATAAATAGTACCAACAACACATAAGCTTCACAGCCAACAAATAGTCCAGGTCAGACACAGACAAAGGGGAAGACCGGATCGGATTGTTGCCCTTTAAGTCTTCACTCTGCTCTCAACCCAGGGTCTGGGATCCAAATTTACCCATAATTCTGCTTAATATGCTGCATGTGTGATTAAGCATCTCTGTGCCAACAAGAGTCAATTACCAGGAAATGTATCAACATTAAATTTCATAATCTGATTATTATTCAAGTCATAATAAATTAGAAACATTGGGAACACACTCAACTGTGAGCATTGCCTATCTTTCCTTTTCTTGTGTCATAATGAGCATATTATTTTGTGTTTTTTTAATCGGCTTATTGGAAATAGGATAGTACTTTATTGATCCCCAGAGGGGAAATTCGGGAAAAATAAAATAAATAAATAAAGATCGCCATTCAAAGACATAATATTAGCTTTAAAAAATTATAATTCTCAGAAATCATATTTTTAGGACATTTTTAGGACCAAAAAATTTGTTGAAGACACGATAGGGTGAATAGATCTCGAAAAGAAAAACGGTTCGTCTCAGCTCCAATGATGTTAATTATAACTTTACAGTTATCTCTTAAATATGAGATCATGTACATAACTTCCAGTTAATTATTTGGTCAGTCTGAACAGGTCGAATAGGGCTACTTTCAACCCCCCTTCATCCTGCTCCGCTGTTCTTCCTCTAAGAGCAGAACTCAAAACCGCCTGCATAACAAAATATGCACAGCATGAAAGGAAGTTTACGTCTATTTCTATTAAGTGCATAATAAATACAAAAAAAAAAAATCATAATTTATTATTTCTCTTGTTTGGCCCTAATCCTCTTCCATAGTTCATGTTGACATTGAGCAGCTGGCTGCTAATAAAACTGTGACATTCGACCCACATAGATCATAATTAAAGAAAGAAAATATCAAGATATATATCGTGTATCACCATTCAGCTAAAACATATCGAGATGTGATTTATGCTCCATTATCGCCCAGCTTTATTTACAGGTGAAGTCCTCAGATAAGGCGTGGTTATGGTCGGTAGTGTATTGAGTATGAGGGCATGTCAAAATGTTATTTTCCCTTTAGGAAGGAATGCATGAATGAATGAGGGGAATTTCCCCAGAGAGAACTAATATTTCCGATTATTCAGACACCACGTGAATGCATATTTAACTGGCTAAAAACGCCAAACAGAAAATAAAGACCGATACTTTTTTATAAACAGACAAATATGGAAAATAATAGTCAGTGTAGATGATCAGGATACACTGAAGAATAACCCAACAAGCCTCTTGCTGCTCATGTTTCAAGCACACAGATTTTTACATCATCTGTTAGCTTAGCCTCTAGCTCCTGTCACTAGCATTTTAGCTAAAACCACCGCTTGTGGATTAAAGTCTCCCTCTACTTACGTTCCCCGACGAGGAGTATCCTCACGTCCTTCCTCATCTTTTATCTGGCTTCCCTCTGAAATAAGGCAGTCTTTATTGTTTCATTGATGTCCTCCTCCCGGTGGTTTCTCTAGCAGCGGGCCTGCGCAGTGAAGTCTGTCAAACTCTCCTTTGTAGGACAAACCGGACGGACACTTTTCGTTCCTCTTTCACGCTTTTCTCCGCGTTTCTTCTCAACGTGCGACTTATCAGCTCAACAGAGAACACATTTAAGATGAAGTTTGCGCCACATTTCTTCGCACTTTCGTGTATTTTACAGTCTTTTCGGTGGTTGCATAGCACTTCGCAGTGGCTGTTTCATGGGCATGCCCGACCTCCAGTACCCGGCAACTACGGCGAGCAGCAAAGGACAAACTTCATTTGAATTAAAAAAACAAAACAGATTTGCTCTGCCCTCTGGCGTCAGAGTAGAGAACTGCAGCTCTTTAATGTTTGAACTTTGCATCTTCACACCAATTATTTGTTCACAAATGTTATTAAACAATTTTGTATCCAACATTAATTTACATTTTATTCATTAAACTACACTTTATGGGGGGCTTGGTAGTCTCAAGCAGGCGGCCCGGGTTCGAGTCCGGCCTGTGGCTCCTTTCCCGCATGTCATTCCCCACTCTCTCTCTCCCTGATTTCTGACTCTATCCACTGTCCTATCTCTCAATTAAAGGCACAAAAAGCCCAAAAATAAATCTAAAAAACAAAAAACTGCACTTTCTACATTAATAGATTTGTTTTGGGGAACATTTCCATGAAATATGTTCACAACAAAACGCTAAATCATGTTTATGACAAAATGAAACGATGAGAAACAAAATAAAAACAGCATGATGACCTGCATTGATTGAACATTACAGCTTTAGTTTGTTCATAACAGTGAGTTTGACAGAGTTTTTCCTGAAGTCTCATATTCAGCACGAGTGAGAATAAGTTGAAGTTGGTCTTTAATCCACACTGGGACTCAGATCACAGATCACAGTCAGTGTTCATGTTTGACTACAACACAAAGATTGGAGTCATGACTGGGGGGAACACGGTGTCTCCATGTCGTTTATCTGTCGTGCTGCAGGAGTTCTGTCTCTTGTGTTTTTCAGCTCTGCAGTCTGTCTTCATCGTCACGTTGTTAACCGTGCGGTTCTTCATCTCTTATACCTGCTGTTGGCTTCAACTGAAAGAAACAAGAGTGCAGGGTCACAAAATAGTTATATATGACAGATACCTGTGGTGCTGTGTAAAGTTTTTTTCATGAATAAATACCGTGCATTTTATATTTAAATCTCAATGATGTCACATTTTGAAATGTATCTACCAAGGGACATTGGAAGAGACTTAAAAAACAACTTTTTTCTATACTTGTGTTTGTTCATATGTCTCCTCTCTATCAAATTAAGAATAAATAATAATGAATGTATTTTAAACACTTGATTAATGCTGAGACTTTCATGCAGCACCACTTTAAAGTTTAAAATTTAGACTTTTTATATGAAATATTTTTCTCATGTATGATAAAATAGTAGCCATACAAACAGGCTTTCTCAGGTTGATGTTTGTAATAAACAACCAGGATTGTGGAAATCTCCGACACTTGTGGTTGTGCACTTTTGACTGCCAGTGGTGAGTCAGAGTTTAACAGTTTGTTATGAGGAGACACTGAGCGGAGGCGTGTACAATAGGTCACCATAGTCCAAAACAGGTAAGAAAGTTGCAACTTTTGTGGGTTAAAGTCGAGACATATTCAACCTGAACATGAAGCATTATAATGCAAATACTCTAAGGTTTAATGGGACGAGAATTTCCATCAACCATCATATGAAAGAGATGATATTTATGATATGTGTGTGAATATAAGAAAGCATTTAACATCCATGCACTGTACACTTTCCTCGTCGCCTTACTTACGAGTATAATCCTGCGGGGACATGGGTCTGAGTAGGACTTGTCTCAGGGCGTTAATCCACTCTCTCTGCTCCCTCTCCTGCTCACACATAAAGACAAATTGCCGCTCAGGCGTCTCCAACAACACGCCGTGTTTCCACTTGTTTCCCCGAGCGTGCTTCGGGACGCACTCCTTCACAGAGTATCCTTTGCTCTCTGTGCCGATGAAAATGACCCCCAACTCCTCTGCATCCTACGTTCACAATAAAGGAGAACAGAGAACCGTTTAAACTCACACAGAGCTCATATGTACAGTGATGAGGTGTGTTTCCTCACCAGCAGCCCTTTGTAGTAGAACAGCTTCCTCTTCTCAGAGTCTAAAATGAACCACCTCTTCTTGAATGGCTCCGTCTGCTGTAGAGACAAACATTACATAATACACTTTTACAGCAGAGAAATGCAGATTCAATTTGAACTTTTTATGACAAAGCTCAATTCCTGTGTGTGTGTTTGGTTGTACATGTATGTAGGAGGAACAGAAACACACTCTCATAGCACGATTTAGATCAATGCCTGGGTTAACATAGCAGACACACACTCTGACAAAGACAACACAGAACGATAGCTGTTCATACAACATACAAAGAACAAGCATCTGTATGTTTGTTTCCCTCTTGCACCTTGTAAACTCACCTGGGGCCCGGTCTTTTCCATGTATCCCTCTTTGAGGTACTTTCTTGTTATCTTTGGAATCAGCTGAAAGTAGAGTGTGAAGTGAAGTGAAGTGAAGTGTTAAATGTCAGATATTCTGTAAAATGCTCTTCCCCATGCTTCTCTAGCTCTAATATGTGTCTCTAGTCCGTCTTCAAACCCGACACCCGAGCCCTTCCAGAGAGGGGGCGTGGTCAGACACAGCTCATGTACATATTTAAAGGTACAGACACAGAAACAGCCTGTTCTGAGCAGGGCTGAAATAGAGGGGTTTATAGGCATGATCAAATACAGGATCAGAGTGGATTTAGAACAAGAGACTTCAGACATGTTTTGGGGAGCTCTGAGACTTATTTAAAGTGGTAAAAAAAGGAGTAGAATATGGGACCTTTAAGCCTTCAAATATGAGTTACTAAGGAGACATTTTTCTGTTTTGACTCATCTGAGAGTGAAAGTTCTGCTGGTCAGCGTTTTTTAAACATGTTCGCTTTGTTCTGTCCCATGTATTGTACCGTATGAGGTCCACACTGCACTATTTTCCATGAAATAAATCTGATTGGTCAAGAAACATCATAAAGTTACGGTCTTGATTTGTCATGACGGAGTTGGCGGTGAGTCCTGAGACCAGACTAGTTGAGAAGCCCGGATTTAGAGCACATTTTAAAGTGTATTGACAGGTAGAAGTTACTGAAAGCAGGTATAGAAAACGTACTTCTTCGTCGCTTCCAGTCGGGTATGCCGTCTTCAGGTACGCATAGCGAGCAGAGCGAATGGCATTGTACCATGACACTATTTCCTAGAGGAGAAGAAGAGATGATGAACTTCTGACACGATTCCAAAGACGGGTATGACAATCAGAACGTTTGGTGGTGCAGTCCCACCTCAGGACTCTCGTGGTAGACGTAGAGGTTCCTGGTGCGACCGTCCTCTTGGTAGGTAATCTGCAGCCCGTTAGGATGACCGATTTTCTCTGGTTGGAAGATGGCGTTCAGATCCTTGATGGAGATCACAGCTTTGGGGCCTTTGGACTCCTGTATCACAATGACACCTCAGATTAGAATAACAGATACAAACACTGGTTTTAGTTAGTGTGCTGCTGTTTTGGTCAAGCAGAATGGTTTAATGAGATGAAACATTAAGACGATGGAGTAGCCAGGATGAGCGACCCTACCTGACTGGACAGAATGACCTACCTTTATAAGCATGCGTGTCCTCAACTCACAAGAGCAACCTTTGAATAAATAGCTACCTTACCTTAAAAAATAACATTCATCAGAATGAGCGTCCATACCTGAACAAGTGAATGAGCTACTGTACCTTTAATTAATTGCTACCTTTGAAACAATAAGCTAGCTCAGCTGACAAAATAAGCTGCATTGAAAATAATGAGCTGGGGCGCCAGTGGCCTAGGGGTTAGTCCCTGGGCCCCATGTACAGAGGCTGTACCCCTTGAAGCGGGAGGGCGGAGTTCAAATCGGACCAACGGCACATTTCCCGCATGTCATTACCCGATCTCTCTACCCCCAATTTCCAACACTATCCACAGTCCTGTCTCTACAATAAAACCATAAAGCCACAACCCCCCACGCCCCCCCCCAACTCCCACCCCAAACAAGAAAAGTACAGTAGCTCATTCTGACAGGTACTACCTGAATGAGCGCTCCTACCTTTCAGAGCAAGCTGTGGTCCACTCAGGATTACTTGTACTAACTTTGGTTGCTTTCTAGCGCTCTCATTAGATCAATATGATAATTTGTCTGATATGTTTTGTCAGTTTATAAACAAACAGCTGATTTTGATCTGTCTGAACTGTTCATCCTTTGTAAGTGTGCCGATTATGTCTTTTATCTGGTAAAAAAAGAGTTGACATCATGCATCCTGGTCCTTGAACCAAACTCATTGTCGTACCTTCATGGCTTCAGCCTGTTTTATTTTCGTTGAAAAGAAACCAGAGTCAGAGCTGCAGGTAACTCACATTCTCTTTGTTGTAGTAGGTCAGGGTGAACTCTCTCTCCGACAGCATAAACTTCCTCTTCAGAAAATGCGAGTTGTCTCTCCCTTTCTTCCACAGTATCCCCTCAAAGAAACCTGGAGTCCATCCAACAGAGCAGCACGGTCAGAGGTGCTAGACTACAAACAGGTCCCACCTTCCCTCCAGCAGCTCTCTGAAAGTTTCTCCCTCTCCACTGTAACTTTGCTGAATGTTTCTCAGTGCTGAGCTCATGGTGGATGCTTTGTTTTTAATATAAAGAAAAGAGTACAGTCCTTATCTATGTTCTCTTCTCTTCCCCAGAGATTCTTCCTTTTGTTGGACAAAGAACATGCTTTTCTTGCACAGATCTGCCTGAGTTTGAGGAACCATCTTATCCACACAAGTATATAAATATACATATAGAAATGTTTGCATCATAAAAGATATACTGATTTTTAAAAAACTGCCAAAAGTCACCTGTTGTGTATGAGACAGGCGGATATTTGATTTCTCCAGAGAATTCCATCCGTTCATATTTGGCCCGGATCCACTGCTCTCTTAGGATGCTGCGGACAGAGCAGGCGTCAAATACACTTAGACAGAGGAAACACTTCTCTGCAGCAGTAAGTCAGACTTACAGTAAATAAATCTGACTCCATCGCTGTGCTCTCGCAGGGGAAGTTCAGCAGTTGCACTTCTCTTTTGTTTTCTGTGACACTGCCCAGTCAGCAAACTGAGACGGCTCATGAACAGGAGATCACATACTGTACATGCACATCATATTACTATCTGAAAAACCTTCATGTAACTTACTAACCACATATTTTCCTGGGAGTACCTGAGCTCTCTTGTCTCGTAGGTTTCTCTGGATCTTTGTGGGGAAGGCCTGCTGCTATGGACCCCCACCCTCTCTCTCTGTTTATCTGTATCCTTCTTCCTGCATTGCCCTCAATCCCATTTTTCAAACTCAACGCAGTTTCATCAGATTACTGTTCACCATGAGTCTGGTTCTGCTCGAGGATTCTGCCTCTTAAAGGACGTTTTTTCTTGCCACTGTAACGTTGGGTCTTTGTTGATACAAAAACAAAGAGTAAGTCTTTTACCTGCTTTTTGTAAAGTGTTTTGAGATAACATTTGTTATGAATTTGCGCTGCACAAATCAAGTTTGATTTAAAAAAAACACAAGAGTCTAACATGAGGGAATCAGGTCACACAGGTCATTTTTAAAGAACATCTACATCCTGGAAAAAATACTTAGCAAGCAAAGATTATTTAAACATCAAAGAGATAAGGAAAGTAGAAAAATCTGAAAAATGTAGAAACTCTGGATTAATAGTATACTCACGCGCTGTCGTTTTCCTGGGGCCGATAGTAGTACGCTGGAACAGCTTTCTCATACAAAGGTCGGACTCTGTCATTCCCGTTGGATTTCATGAACTTCCAATCACCCGAGAAAGACACACTTAGGACTTTATCATATCATGGAGAGACAAATTAGAGGGTGAGGCATGACAAAAAGCAGATCTTTACCTCCACCAGCTCGTCCTCCCAGAAGTCCAGCTTTAAGGATTTGACCCGGCTGGAGAGGTTGCGGTGGATGCCCGAGCAGTTCAGACACACAAACACCCCCAGCTTGTAGGACGCCCATTCTGGATCTGAAATTTACCAAGACAAGGGGGCATTAACGCATCACCTGGCAGCTCCTTACCTAACCCTTCTTGCACTCTTCATTGTATTCTTCTCCTGGGTAATTACAGAGTTCTAGAGAATATAATTAATTAATTAATCAAAGTATAATTCAGGAAAGTTCAGGATTAGACCACCATATCACCCAGGGACGAAGTAAAAAAGTAAACCTAACAATTAGACTTTAAACTTGCCCGTTATAAATGTGCATTCGAGTTAGTTCATTTTATTTTATTGAACCTCAATCTGACCATGAATCTTCTCATTGATACAGTACATTAAAACTGTTTCTGACTCTCGACTGAGACCGCAGGATAAAAAGTTTCACGTAAATAAGAAACAACCGAGAGAAGGGAACAGAAAGAGCACATTCAGCTTCTCGTTCCATTTTTAACCCTGGTGTAATAGTCTTACAGGTTTATATAAATAATCTAGGTTAAGGTGACCATAGCTCATTCTGAGATGAGGAAACAAAAAGTAATTTCTTGTAACTATGACGACATGGGGGCTTTTTTTCTGGGGCAACTTCCTGTGTTTGAAAATCTGTCTTGTTTCTTTGCATGAACAAAACAAGAGCATTTGACCAAACTGATCATTCAAATACATCGATAAAACCGTTTTCACATTTGCACTCCTGAAAGGTCTAGAGGATTTCAGACTCAGGAGGACTGCCCCTGAAATCCTCCTGATCTGCTTGTTCACACATGCACCTCACAGGGGTAGAAACTCCTTGGCGCCCCAGAGGGCAGACAAACTTTAAACCACAGCAGTGTCTCATGTGCAAAGTTTGCAATGACAGTTGGAAATCTCCCTAAGGGGGCCCCATCTGACCACAGTCACTCATTGAATAGTAAAAGAATTAATGTTTGCAAGTGTAGACCCAAATATGTTGGAGAATGAACAACATCTCTTCCAGCTAGCATTAACATGATGGTGTTTTATTTTGAAATTATGAGTTTTTTTTTAATCTTCTTTACAGTTTTATTTTGAAAATAATACTAATGTGTGTTTGGAAATAATTTGTTGACTTTTCAAATTTTTTGGTTGGTGTTCGCTTGTTTACAACATAATGATAAACAACGATGCTTGGAGGACCCTAACAGAAACTAGAATCACCAGTGTTTCTAAAATTCATTCTGTAAACACGATAGTCCTCCAAAGTACGATATAATTCATTTCTGAATCCACAGGCCTGACCAACAGTGAACATAAAGAGAATGTACAACATCTGATTTAGACAAGAAGAACTAAAACCACATGTTCAGTAATCTTAAATAAAAACTAAACGAGACACTTGGCTGCAGTCGTGTTGGTATGCATCCAGAGTCCTCGTACACTTTCATACACTTATTTTTAACTGCTTGGTGTCAAAGACATGAAGAAAAATTACATCAGTATACGAGTCAAGTCATACTCAACCACATTCTGACCTGCAAACTTCAAACTGAGACCAGCAGCTCCCTCTTCTGCCCTAAAGGTACCGAGCACTGAGGGGCAGGAGGCTCGCTTCAGGAAAAGCCTGATCCTGCAGACATTACTGCCCTTAACAGCAGGCCTTGCTTAATCAGCCAACAGTGAAATACTGGAGCCTTGTATGCTTACATGCCTGAGTCAACCTTCAGTCTCAGGTGCCCTTGTTGTTTTTTGGCCCTTTCCCTCAGACAACCTGAGTCCGCCAGTGTCAGTATCAACAACATTACAATTAAAAAGTGAGAAATCTTTGTATCTACTGTGCTGAGAAGCCCTGCCTGTTAATGTAGAGAAACTATCAGGAGTGATCCAGGTCAAATGACTTACAGACACATTGTCATGAGCTCACCTGGCGCGCCGCAGTCCGCGCACCGACTGTTTCCCGGCTGTTTCACGAGCTCCAGCAGGATCCTTTGGTTGCGTTCACGGTTTGCCATTCTGAAAGGAACTTTGGCTTTTCCTTCTCACACGACGATAAATCCGGCGTGTTGTCGTTTCTAAACATGGTGGTCACATCGTTGAGACACGTGGCGAAATGCGAGCTGACAAAAAAAAAAAAGAAGTCGAATACAAATTTAAAAAAAAAACTGGAACTTGCGACAGATGAGTTTACGCAAAGCGGACCTCCCTCTCCCTCCTCTATCGAGCGCGTCAAGATGAACTGACGGAAACAAAGAGCTGCTTCTGTCACCGAGGGTTGTTTCCTGTTTTCCAAACCACTTCTGTGCTCTCCTTCTAAATATACTCTCTAATTAGATATTCATTCATACCTGAAACCAGTTCACCCAGTGTCTTAAATAAACCTGTTCACACGAAGCTCTCAAAGAAAACTGCCATCAGCTCATGATCTGTCTAAAACTTGAATTCATTGTGAAGATTTATGTGCACCAAAAAGCCCGACAAATGTTATTCATTTGGTTGTGATAAACCTTTATTTAGTCACAACAAAACCCACAGTGAAAAGGTGTACAGATTAAAGGCTACAAAGCACAAAATGCTCAAATTGAAATCAAGAAGAAAAAAAAACTGTTATGAGTGTTCAGGTGACATTTAAGGCTAAAACAGATAAAGCAGGATTCTCTGCTGAAAGCTGTCCGCCCTCTTGAACTCAAAGAGAAGCAGAAAGTCTGAGTGCATTGTGGTTCTTTGTGTGGAGGATTACAACTTACAGGTACAGACACAAACTATTTTACATATGAATCTCATACAAATCCTTAAAGACACACACTTCTATTCGATAAAAACACTTTGCAAAATGCAAAGGAGGCTGGTAGATTGTGAATGTGTAAAACACTACTGTACAAATCAAACACTCCTCAACAGCTTCATACAAAAAAACCTTGCAAAGTAGTTATTAGTGCATTCTTAATGAGCACCAAAGTCCCAGAGGGCGATTAGGAGTGCCGCCTTCAGGTGACACTTCCTCTCCTGTATGCAGTGATTCAGTCATTTGTATCTCGGAGGAAAAGCTTCACCTTTGTGCACAAACACCGACTCCTGCTGCAGCCCAGCACCAAGAAGAGACGAGAGGCCGGCAACGCTGATTCATGCTTTAGCCCAACTGCGACTCTTTGTGCTGCAAACACAACGTTTAAGTGTGACCTTTAAAAAACATTGCGCCCCACTTTAAGGACAGTTTTTTTTTTTTTAAGTTAGGACACGTCGTCTTCTCTTCAAGGGAAGTCTTCAGCGAGGTGCTGCAGAGTGCTCTTTTCAAGACCCAGGCTGACTGAATCGAGGTAGTGCAGGAACCTGGAGGAGGCAGAAACACAACAGCTCAGAGTTCACTGAGGAAAGAGACACCGCTGAAACTCAGTGTTTACCTTAAATATTTATATTTAGATACATCATGTTGGGTTGTGTGGAGGAGAGTAACACAGAAGACAAGAAGACCCAAAGTATGCCCAAACATTACAAACAAGACCTGACAGTGGAGACAGTCAGAAATAAGGGAGAGGCGATTGGGGAAAGGAGCCACAGGCCGGCTCTGAACCCGGGCTGCTCGTCTGGAATGGTACATTCCCTTTCTGTCAAGATTCTGTCGTTTGTAAATTTGTCTCAGCACATGTAAAAGTGTTTCACATCTTGTAAATCTGTTTCTTAAAATCTTGTCTCAAATTTTGTCTCAAAGTGTTTCACACTTGCTTATAATAACTTTATTTGTAACTTCTTTAAAACAAAGTTCACAAAGGGCTTTCCATAAAACACAAAACAACAACAAGAAAAAAACATTAAGAGAATGTACGACATCTGATTTAGACAAGAAGAACTAAAACCACATGTTCAGTAATCTTAAATAAAAACTAAACGAGACACTTGGCTGCAGTCGTGTTGGTATGCATGCAGAGTCCTCGTACACTTTCATACACTTATTTTTAACTGCTTGGCGTCAAAGATATAAAGAAAAATTACATCAGTATACGAGTATATGAAATTGAGGTTTTTTTAAATCTTCTTTACAGTTTTATTTTGAAAATAATACTAATGTGTGTTTGGAAATAATTTGTTGACTTCTCAATTTTTTTGGTTGGTGTTCGATTGTTTACAATATAATGATGAAAAACGATGCTTGGAGGACCCTAACAGAAACTAGAATCACCAGTGTTTCTAAAATTCATTCTGTAAACACGATAGTCCTCCAAAGTACGATATAATTCATTTCTGAATCCACAGGCCTGACCAACAGTGAACATAAAGAGAATGTACAACATCTGATTTAGACAAGAAGAACTAAAACCACATGTTCAGTAATCTTAAATAAAAACTAAACGAGACACTTGGCTGCAGTCGTGTTGGTATGCATCCAGAGTCCTCGTACACTTTCATACACTTATTTTTAACTGCTTGGTGTCAAAGACATGAAGAAAAATTACATCAGTATACGAGTCAAGTCATACTCAACCACATTCTGACCTGCAAACTTCAAACTGAGACCAGCAGCTCCCTCTTCTGCCCTAAAGGTACCGAGCACTGAGGGGCAGGACAGCTCGCTTCAGGAAAAGCCTGATCCTGCAGACATTACTGCCCTTAACCCTGCCCTGTTGTTTTCCTCTGGGCTGTCAAACCTGTACACTGCTGCCCATTTAGGACAATAAAGTCTAAGACCTGATGCTGCTGGTCGAGTTTAAAAAAAAGAAAGTGTTCTGCATGCTCACCTTCGTTTGACCTTGCCCTGCTCCTTCAACTGCTCCGATCTGCAGATGGTGCGCAGGGCCGGCATATAGTCGAGAGCAGCTGCAGGTCTGTTACAGAGAGAACCAAATACTCCTCTGACCATCAGACTCTCCATCACCTCTCTCCTCCGCTGGACCAGCCTGGAACAGAAACACACGCTGTAACTCTTATTTTCCACAGTTGTTAAATAAGATTACCGTGGTATTCAAACAGGTATTCATATATTCATATTTGCAGAGACAGATGAGAAAGACTCACTGTGTTCGACACAAGCCGTCCTGAGAGAAGCTGAAACCTTCACGGTGAGCGGCCACAGGGAGGCTGAGTTCTGCCGCGGCCTCCTTTCCAACGTCACCCTCCAGATGTTGTGCTTTCTCCCACGCCTCCGCCACCGAAACCCGACACTTCTGGAAGCTCAGAGCCTCCACAGCAGCCGGGATCTCCCAGACGAGCTCCCCGCTCACTCGGCCCATGTCAATTCTTGGCTCGTCGGTCATCCCATCTTTCACCACTGCACCGGTTTGTGACCTTCTCTGAGCACTGTCAACCCCTTCTGATCGGACTAACAGGGAGGAGTCCATGTAGGACATGTTATCAAAGAAGTCTGCCATTGATTCTAGACCCCGGGACACTGGGAGACTTTTAGCCCGCTCCTCAGGAGTCAGCGGCGTCCTCTTTACCTTCTCTGAGACTAAACTCTGTGTGGTTTCCTCCTTTGCTGGAGGAGCTTCCTGCGGCTTGCGGAGAGACAGAAAATTGTCTTCTGAGTCTGAGTCCGAGTCTAGTCCTTCCCGTTCAGGTAAACAATGCCTCCTCTTGTTCTTCCTCATTCTGTTGGACATTTTAACTGGACTGCTATCATCTGAGAAGTCTGCTGACTCCGACGTGAGCAACAACCTCTGGTGTGACGGCAGTGTATCAGAGGGAGGGTCCTGAGATGGAGGAGGAGGCAGCGGCAGCTTGTAGGTAGAGGTAGTCAGCTGTGTGCATGGTACAGGTAACAGCATCTCCATGTTGGAATAGAGCAGGTCCACTCCTCGTCGCCTGCTGTTCGTCAGCCGCTCAAAGCACAACTCCTCCTCCACCAGACTCCGGCTCTGTTGAAGACAAACATCAGGTCATTATTTTAAAATCAAGAACAACACAGCTTCGCTTGTGTCATGTTTATATGTTTAGTAAAAGGAGTTAACCTCGAGCAGCTGCCACATGTCTCTCTCTGTTTCTGAGTTCAGCAGACCGAGCAAGCTCTCAGTGCAGCCGCTGTCGCAGGGAGGAAGAGTGCACGCTGCCTTTTCATCCGTCTCTGGTTTTGTTTCAGCTGTTTAGGAGGAAGAAGACATTTTTAAGACGGTGGCATGTAGCTTAACTATTAGAACTTTGTTTGAAAGCACGTTTCCTGGAGTCATTTGAAAAGAATCCAAGAGCTGCACGGATGATTAAACCATTTAAGGAAATTTAAAAGGCCAACTATTTTGACATCGATATAAACTAAATTCATTTTTTGAAGCATAAATGTCACATCTGCTGGTTCTCTGCCCTTTAATCTAAGGATCTGCAGCTTTTCCTTTCACCAGGTCAACCTCAGATAGATATGATAAAAATGAAATATAAACAAGGGAAGTAAAGTCAGAATCAGCGATAATATTCAAATGTCTTCATATTTCCTCTTTATCCTCTCCTCACCATTTTTGCAAGCTTGGGTCAATGGCCCAGTCACACTGTGGTGTCCTCTTCCTCCACTGCGAGTCCAGAACTGCAGCTGCAGTAAACTCTGCCTGATGTCACAGTCGTTGAGTCGGAGCAGAGAGCTGACGTCAGATTGGTCCGTCCTGACGTCCTCGGTCAGACACAACAGCCTCAGGAAGCTGCTCACATCCACCTGAAGCATCACGACATCACACAAACTTTTAACAACCGATCGAGTCTGTGAGATCTGAGAGCGGAACATGTTATTTAAGAAGCTGTGCACTCACCACTGACGGAGATTTGAAAAGGATCTCTTCAAAGTTTCCATCAAACATGGAGCTGAAAGCCGGATCTACAGAAATGAAATGAATTATTGCAAAACAAAAAAAAAAGGAATAAACTGAAGACTCGTTCTTTCCTCCTTGTTTTACTCACCGCTGGTCGTGAGGATGACCGGTCTCTTGGTGGTGCTCATAAATGTTTTGATGGCAGCCAGAAAACCAGAGTCATCATCAAAAATCACATCCACTTCTTCGAACAGGATGAGCGAGGTTGCTGTCTTCTTGTTCTGCTCCTCGTTACTTTTCTCTTTAGGGGTGGTGGATGTCGCTGATTTGACGACTGAGGCTTTGCGCTTATTTGCAGTATCATTCGCTTTCACGTCTTTCTTGGATGCTTCTGTATGAAGAGATAAGCAAGAGAGATGAAGAAGCACCGGTTATCAAACAGATTTTATAGAGATAACATCATAAGACATGTCAAAAAGGCGGACACATTGAAGGTGTGTTTACCAGTTTGCTCGTTCTTCTTAGTGTTAGGCGTCTCCTTGTTGGTGGGTCCGCCCATTTTGAAAAAGTTAGCTAAAGCCGTGGGAGCCAAGCCTCCTCTTTTAGCACCTCTTGGGGACTGGGGATGTTTCCTGGGAGAGGAAACCACCCGACGAGGAGAGTTGATCTTCCCTGAAAGACGTAGAAAAACAAATCAAAAATCAACTTCCAAGCACATTCACAGTCTGCAGAGAACAGATCCTTTCACACTGCGAGCACTATCAGTTGTGTACTCACTGGGGGAGGACCCTGCCCTCATGATTCCGGCGCTGCTGCTCGTGCCGTAGCTGTTGAAGTAGGTGGGTTTGTGGGCGTTGACCCCCTGACTGTCCACCTGGTGCGACTGTGTGGCTTCCTTCAGCTGGGACAGGATAAGACGGCCACTCCGCTGAGAAGAAGCATTCACCTCGAACACCTGGGAGAGAAAAGACCAGAGGGACGTTTGGAAATGAAGACGCTGAAAGCTGCACCAGTGTCAGAGTTTTGATCCTGGAGGGTTTTTTTTGTACCTTGAAGCCGAGCTCCTGAGCACAAGCATAAACAGCGGCAGTCTTTCCTACTCCAGTGGGTCCTGTGATGATCATCGTGTTGCACAACATGTCGTCTCCGTCCTGGGAGTCGTCTTCTCCGCAGTCTGAGTCTGAACACAGAGAGCAATCATGTTGTCAAAACAAACACCATCGAGGAAAAACAACTCGAAATGAAGACCATAATTACTTTTTTTTTTTTTTAAACCTCCCACCATTGCTGCTTTCCTCTTGTTTCTTCTCTTTCTGCTTTTTCCTCTCTTCCCTGTCCGTACGGAGTTTCCATTCCTTGAGCCAGCTGCACAAATAAAACAAACATGAAACTTTGTATGTTCCCGTTCCACAATCCACCCTTAATAGCAAAGCATCCAGGGCTGACACCACATAAAAGTTTCAGTGTCTCACCTGTGCAGCCTCCTCACTGAAGCGGGGTTTCCGATGATGTCACTCGAGTGCTGGGGCTGATATTTGTCTGTCCATAACACGTCCTCCTTCACCACATCTGTAAAAACAAACCAAAGACTGAGTTAGAGGCTTGAAATATATTCTGTGTTATAAAGGACAGTACTGAATTCAGAGAGAAGTTACGATAAAAACTAAGAGATTCAGTCGATAGGAATTTGTCGTCTCACCTTTTTTCTCTGCATCATCATCTACCAAAAGGACGTCATCGACCACGACCACAGAGTCGTCTTCAGGTGGGATGGGAGAAGCTTTAACTGAAGGCTTGGTTTTCTCAGTCCCCCCGTCCTCCTGCTTGGCTCTCTGCCCTCGCCTCGTACGGCCTCCCCTTTTTGTCAGCTCGGGCTCAGACGTTGAAATCTTCTCTTGCGTAGAGTTGGCACGTTGCTTCTTAGCGACCTTCACTGTTGTTTCCCCGTCATCGTCCGCCCTCTTTCTCTTCCCTCCTGCTGAACTCGGGTCTTTCGTTGCAGCCTCTGGCTCTACTGAATAACATGCAATGTGTGTGGGAAATCATTTAATATTATTTGACGCTGTAAAGAAACACCTGAGCAGCATTTTCTGTTTCTGTGCAAATGATTATCTCGTCAAGGCTTAAAGAAAAACATAGTAAGCAAATGGATGCTGATGCTTTACAACACAACACTTCTACTTTTGTTTTAGTTAAGAAGGTTTGTGTCAGACTGACCTGAGGCCGTGCTCTGCTGCTGGTGGTCAGTGCGTCTCTTCAGGAAGCGACTGAGGAACATCTGAACCGGGAAGGACGGGTTTGACTTTCGGACCTCTTCCATGAGAAGCTGACGAGCACCTTCAGAGATCTCAGGCCTCCAACCAGAACCCTTCAAAAGGTTTTGATGTGAGTCAGTTTTGTGTCAAAGCTCAGAAAAAAACAACTTGCATGGCATAATTTTGCAAAAAAATACAAATCAAAATAGACAGAAAAACATCCAAATTTGTTTATGCAGATACTCTTTAAAAGCTAATTTAAATATATGACAAAGAAGATGAAAAGGTTGAAGCTCTAAACTAGAAAAAGGTGTTCTTGACATCTAAATCCTGTTAAAGAGAGAACTAAATCCCCAACAAGTCCATGTCCCTCGGTCAGGAGTCGATCCTGAACATTTGGGGACAGGCGTTGAGAAAATAAGAGGATGAAAAAGATTCCAACATACTCGTTCAAAAGAGGCTCTGCAGGCGGGTTTTGTCTTCGTGCAGAGGACGCCACAGACGGGTTGGAGTGGGCTGAATGTTTGGCACCAGAGCTCTTTAAGATGACGCAGTGACGAAGGCTCTGGCCACAGCAGACTCCAAAGAGGACGATCTGTCAAAACGAGACAAAAACAAAGTTTGAACAGACTCTGGTACGATTATCTGTATACTGTACGTCACTCCTTTGCCAATATCAACACGGTGTGTGACCGCTGCTGCCAGTCAGCGCGGTATAAAAGAAATAACATTTCTCAAATGAAGATAAAAACATGCACATTTTGAAGCAGGAACAGCTTACCGATTAGTTGCTGCTGTACGTGAATCACTGGCTGAAAGGAGGAACAGGACAGCGAGTACGCCTCCTTGCTCGCAGCGGTCTTGGCGATCTGTTTCTTAAAAGACTCGGGCAGGCCGCTCTTCAGGAACTCTCTGCGCGCCCTGAACTGCTCGTCATCCTGCGTGCTCTCAGAGCCGTCGTGGCTGCTGTCATCAAAGATGGACACCTTACGGGCAGATTTCTCTTGAGCCAGCGACGACACTTTGGAGCCTGTGGGAAAGAAAACACGACGTTAAATAAGAGTCTTAAAAAACACTTACACAAATTGTGACCGAGAGCAGAAAAGACGACATGTGGCGTTCTTTGTGTCCTTGCCTGCAGATGTTGCTTTTCCCAGAACGTCATTTAGACTTCGTAAAGACTTCTGAGTCTTTTCAGGTGCTTCAGACTGACTTTCCTCCAGACAAATCACAGAATCCTGACAAAAAAAAAAAGGATGAACAGGGTCAATAAAAATCAATAAGCCCGGGTCACTAGTGTGAAACAAGCCTTAAAAACATTTAACTATCCCTTAAAATAAATCCCAATCCATCTGTTGTGTACCTCGTCTTCACAGTAGCTCCTCTTGGCGGAGGCCTCGGCTCGTGACGATCGCCTTACGGTGCCTTTCTCCTTGACCACAGCTTTTTTACTTTGCTGAATCACTTTGGCTTTCTCCACCAACTTCTTCGCCTGCTTCCTTTTTTTAGCATCACTTGATGCCTGAGAGAAACAAAGAGTAGTTGATCATCCTGAGCCCATAATAAGGAGAATATAATGAAGTTATTTAAAAAAAAAAAAAAAAAAATGTCATGCTTACTTTAGCAGCCACAGGTGTGTTTTTGCCACTTCCACTTTCAGGTTTGGTCGAGGAGACATTCCTCTGAACTCTCGTGAACTTGATCCTTACAAAAGAAAACATTTAAATGTGAACATAATCAAATGTAACCCTAATCATATGTGTCTATGCACTTCTGTGTTGGAGTTATTTTTATAGTACACTTGACTTAAAGTATTTTAAGTCTCACTTAAAACTCACAGCAGTCATTCCTCCCTATAAGAAGATGATAACGTTAAGTTAATGCTGTTGCTCTGCATTGCATTACTGTTATTCTGCACTATGCTAAACTATTTAATACTTCTCTATGTTATGGTTGTCAAAATCTTCAATACTTTCTGATACCCCGTGTTTTAAAACCAAAACGATCTCTGTCATTGTAATGATGAATTGTATTGAAAAGTAAAAAAGCTCAAAGTAAAAAAAATGCAAAAGTTATATATGATGTAAAAGATATGCAATGATTTACTTGTGTTTTAAATACACAGACCAGACGTGGCCATCGAACAGGCCCGGGAACGGGGCGGTCTAAGAGCCCCTCCTCTTTTTGCATTCTTACAAACATAAAAAGTGGGAGGTGACACTCTCTAAATTGCCAAGGACTCTTGTTGTTGTGGATATCGTTTGATTTTTACTAGTATCTTATCAATGATTCAAATTCAGGTATCGTGAAGTCTAACCAATAAGAGAGTCTAACCAGCAAGTTCAGGACTGATTTATAGCTCTGCATTAGGTTTAGGTGAGTTTAAATAATAAACTGGGTGTGTAAATGAAACAGTAAACAAACTTTATATATTAATATGTTGTTTTAAATCCTCCTGCGTTACCTGATTGGACTTTGTTGTTTGTCAGGTGGGCACAGCATCTCTGCTACAAAGACTCCGTGTTTGGACCGGCGTCTCCTTGGGGTGGACACGTCTGCAGGGCTGTCGTCGGGTAAATCAGCAGCTGCAGCGTCCTCCTTCGACTCGATTTGTTTCCTGGTCTTTCTTATAGGAGTTGTCAGAGTGGCCTCGGGTGTTTTTCTAACAGCAGCCTCCCTCCTGGACCTCCTTACTGCTGGGATGCAAGGAGTAGAGGTCATGGGAAGTTCCTCTTTCTTATCATCGACCTCAACACTGTGGGCGACTGTTTCTTCCACAGGAGCAGGAGGCAGAGGGGTGACAGCCTCTTTTTCTTGACCTTTCCGTCTGCCTTTCTTTGCTGGTTTCTTCTTTTTCGCAGCTTTGTTTTCCACAGAGGGAGCAGGCTCTTGCTCGACAGAGGTCTGTCTTTCGTCGTCCTCCTCAGCCACTTTCTCTGCCTCCTCCCCGGCTTGCTTCTGCTTGCCCTGGCTCTTAGCAGGCTTGGTTTTGGACCCATCCACACCGGGCCGTTTGAAGGCCGCCATGAACTGCTTCCTCTCCGCGTCGCTGCACTTTGCCGTGGATTCGCTCTCGAGCACAGAGAGCTCTAGATCTTCCTCCTGAAGAACCACATTGGATTTCCGCTTGACAGTCAGAGAGGGAGAAGGAAGTTGTTTTCCAGCCTCCATCTCTGAAGTTGATTTTAATTCAGCAGGACTCGCCGCTCCTTTCCTCCTGTTGAAGATGGAAGCTACCTTCCCTCCAGCCTTAGCGTCCGTTTTGGGTGAGACTGTATGCACTTCAGCCTGGATGGTTAGTGTTCGAGGTGAGACTTGTAGTATTGGCTCCGTAGAAACAACCTTTTCCTCAGCTTTAGAGATTTCCATCTGCTCAATGTCCATTTCTTCTGAATCTGTTGTGATCTCACCGTCACCTGCTTTGCCCCGTTCATCTCTTGTGTCCTCTCCTTCCACCCCATCCTGACCCTGACTCCGCACAAAATCCTCGAAGGAGATGGTGACCGTGCTGTTCAGCTGAGAAGTCTCATCCACGTTGACTTCCATACTGACATCACACAAGGAACTCTCATTCTCTTTCTCCTCTGGTTTTGAATCCTTTTCCTCCTGTTGCAGCCTTTTTCGAGAATTTCTTGCAACAGTTTTGACTTGTTTTGCTTTCTCTTTTTGGGGTGCAATTGGCGATAATTGGATACATTCAATTTCTGGTTTATGTTTGGAACTATCCTCATGATGACTTTCGGATTTTTTAGCCTGCTCGAAGCCGACAGTTTCAGAGTCATTCACTTCCGATTTTCCCGGAGAGATACAAGCCTCGGCGCTGAGCTGGACCAGCAGGGCCGCTGCATCACTGCCAAGAATGCCACAGCTGCTTATTGCTCCTGCTGCTGAGTCTCTGCTATCATGTTGCTCTTCCACAATCATGCAGCTCTCATCCGATGTGGAGTTAACAGGTTCAGCCTCCACCAATTTCCTTGCTGCTTTGCTGGCCTTTCGGCTCCGTTTCTGAGTCGGCTGTTTCGCCCCTGCCTCTCTCACCGTGTGTTTCTCTGCAGGCTGAGATGTCTGACAGTTCTCTTTTGATTGCTCGGGTGAGCCGCTTTTATCCTTAGAGGACGGAGCCTTCCGGCTGAAGTAGTCCCTGATGTTGTTGGAGCGAGGAGGAGAAAAGGGTTTCTCTGCAGGCTTTGGCACAGGTGAGAAATAGTTTGTGATTGTCTTGACGACGGGACTGACAGCATCTTTGCGAGATTTCTTGCAAGGCTGTAAAAAGCAGTGACAAAGTTAATTACACGTGATACTGAATAACAACAAACAAAGTGCATATGTTTAAGCTGAAATAAGTGCGATAGAATTACCTGGGTGTCAAAGTCCTCGATGACAGATGCCATAGCCACAACACCAGCCATAATTTAAGACCTAAAGAATAAGAAAAATGTGTTATGCAAATGGTGGAACATCTTGGATCCAGATAAACTGTTAACTTAATTTCCAAGAGTTACCATCAGTTAAGTTTAATTAGACTTACATTTGTCTACCTATCCTTCTGTCCCTCATTACATATTTATTATTCCCTAGACCGACATACTGGAGCTGATTAACTGACTGAGAAAAAATGTCAAATAGTTTTCTCATCATGTCATGGTTGAGTTGGGTTTTTTCACAAATGTCTTCTCAAAAGTATTTGTTGCAGCTTCTCAAAGGTAAAGGTTTGCTGCTTTTGTCATTTTGTGTTCAATAAGTCTTAAAATAAACAGGAAGACGTCCCTATGCATGCTATTTATTATTTATCGTCACCGTTTACAATCGCCCTCTTTTCATATTTAATTATTGCTACATCGAAGGGCAGCCCATCCTCTATAATTATGTAAACACTACACCATGTACGATTTGTTTATAAAGCAATCTGACTCATAACAATCTACAAAAACACACTCTTTTCCGAGTTGTTGTTCCGACTTGAGCAGGTGTTCATGCGCATTATAAAACTCGGGATCTCGTTTTTCCGATATGTCCGACATACACATGAATGCAGCATTATACTCAGAACAATGTACAGTAGCATTAAATACTTAACAAAAGAGGTCCAGTAAAGCAAAATCTGTATTCAAACGCTTTGAGAGTGTTACACAGTGTTCAGATATGTCAGGTTTTGATGTTACCACTGACAAGTCGTCCAGAAACGTAAGCTCTTCCAGGTTTTGTTCGACATGACAGACGGACAACCAGGAAAATAAAGGTGGAGGAAAAACACTCACCGATAATACAGAGCAGGTAACTTCCTTCAGCTTTAGAGGAAACCCCCTTCTCGCCTTTTATTGTACACTTCTCCGTATGTGTGAGAATTAACATTAGAGGCAAAGTTCATCGTGTGAGGCGTCCAGCTGTTTGTTTTTTCCAGTCGTATACAATGTAGAACAACAAGCTAGCAGACACCGCCGGCTGCTCCTCTCAAAGCGGCTCCGCTCCTCGAAAGTGCCCCAAACATTTTCCACTTGTCGGCCCCGGTTACACGAACCCGAGAGGAAACCCCGTTAGCCGCTCAATCTGCGAATAATTCCGAGTAAAAAAAGTCCATATACATGTTTCTTGACGTTGTGTTACGCTTTCAAAAACGCGCCAGGACGGTCAGGATTGAAGAGCGCCAAATTTGCGTGAACTTTGGCACGACAGGATTCCACCAATCACACGGCAGGAGACGCTTTGGGCATCGTGTGACGTTTTTGCCCAAAAGAAAGATGGCGGGTATGGTCGCATTCGACGGAGATGAAAAAGTGACAGCTCCCTCTACAGGCGGCACCTTGTACCAGTTTCTTTGGGAATTACATTCAAAATTTATTCATGATTCCGTGTTAAATTATATTATGTATTAAAAAAAAGAAAAACATATTATGACGACATAATTACTTGAATAGAAACCCTGTAAGAAAAAGTACAAAATGTGTATTTAAAGCTTAAAATTGTAATTCTTCTCAGGTCAAATGATACGGGTCGAACTACTGTTTTACTAGAATGTTTTCAGAGGGGCTACTTGCACATGGAGATGGGTTGTAACATTTTTTGTCTTTGATTTGTCGCCTCCAGGAAAAAAAAAAAAAAAACCTCCAGGAATAATTGGATGTAACTTGTAATTTGGTTCAGCTGAGTCACACCATCATAAAACAGAATGAATGTGGTTTCGGTTCCAATTTTATTTGTTGTCGTTTGCAGTGGAAGTTTTACTTGTGTGTGTGTGTGTGTGTGTGTGTGTGTGTGTGTGTGTGTGTGTGTGAGAAAAACACAGGAAGTCACTGTCTGTCTATCAAAGCTTTACTGTAAAACTCAGTGAGATATAGGCGCTTGTCAGACGGCTTTCATGCCACAAAGATTATCGACCCTGATAAAGTGAGACTTATCAGTGACACCTCTTTCTTCTTTTAAGAGATAAAAATGTAAACAACCGAAAACACAAGCAGTTTTAAAAATTCTTTAATTTATATCTTTAAAATTAAAAACATCTGAATTGCATTCTACCACCTCCAAAGGCACAGTCATACTTACAGCAGACCAAATTCATAAAACACTGCCACTGAACATCTTTTTTTTTTTCAACTGGTTTTGTACATAAGAAACAATGCACTGTAAAAATGACTAAACAGTTTTCTTACAGGGTAAACAATGGCCATTCTATATGCTGTGTAGATCATTACTGGACTGATATGTACTCAGTCTTGGTAGCATTAGACTCCGTATAAAGGATGATGTGCTGGTTTGAGGCTGCCGATGCACACTGCAGCTATTTAAAGACATTGCATTTGAAAATCCAAAATGATGACATGTCTACAACAACCAATCGGGACAAACAGTGTTTAAGAATATGGATGTTTGAAGCAAAACAAAGCCATTGGCAGGAGGGCGGAAATGCAGCGAGATGAAAGCACAGTGCAGGGAGATGAGTGTCGGTGGAGGACTGTGCAGAAAGAAAAAAAAAAAACATCACATCTCTCACGAGTGACACGAGATGTTCACACACAATCTGACACCTGCACCCCACGGTACAAAAATCACACCTATGACTTTAAAGAAACTGAGAAACATTTCAGGACGTTTTTTTTTTCTCGACAATATGTGCAAAGTTGCCTGTTAGTGAAAAAGTCATCAGATATGAAGAGGATTGATAACCGAACGTACAATCACAAATCAAGTATGCACACAGAGGTTGCTTACAATGTGTGTGACAACACAGCACCATACACTGCACAAGAGGTTCACTGAGTGACAACGAAATTCAAAGAAGTGGATAAATATACAGCAGAATATAAGTTGATCACTGTTCCTACTCAGGCACAGTCCCCCGTAAAAACATAGAGAATTTAAAAACAAAGCTGAGATCTCGGATAAAAGCACACAGGATTGGCACACACATGGATAAAATATTTAAATAAGGCAAGAAATGATGTCAAAGGGAAATTAGGCAACAAAGGAGCGTTTTTTTAAAGGACAGGAATGAAGCACTTATAATATGACACATACACAACCTCTCTAATGGAACCACATGTTCAATAAGAGAGAGAGGATTTTTTTTTGCAGCAACTAATGGGAGCCCCAATTCCACAGACGTAGCTTTTTCTTTACAGGTTAGTGTAGCAGCTGCGACAGGCACTCCAAGAACACGACAACGTTTTCTTTTCAGGCAAATAAAATCAAGCTGGGAATCTACGCACGTCTTCCAAAATCAAAACCTGAATGCCTTAGAAAATATCTACAGAGGAAACTGTCCACAGTTTAGATGACTCACAATCACACGCGCACACACACGCACACACACACACACACACACACACACACACACACACACACACACACACACACACACACACACACACACACACACACACACACACACACACACACACACACACACACACACACACACACACACACACCATCGTGGATGTGCATGTTCTTTCAGAGTTACAGAAGTGCCTGCACGTAAAACAAACAACAAAACAAAACAAGATAAACACGCCCAAGAGGTTTCTTACTGCCTGCTGCCTTTTGTGTGTTTCTTCTTCTTGAAGACCAAGTCTCCAAACAAATTAGTAACAACTAAACGCAGTTACAATTTACTGTGGAGGGTCCACCTCCACCTTTACACACACACATACACACACACATCACAGTATTTTCAACACCACTTGATATGGCAGTGACAGTGTAAGGAGGATGAGCAGAAGTTTCTCAGAAGGGAGAGAGAAGGCTGTTGCAGGTAGAGATGCAATGAGAGAAAACAAAAACATGCCTGGCTTGAGTTTGTTTTTACAAATCAACAACACAACCATACATTAAAATTCTCTGTGTTTCCGAGAGAATCTGCTTTGTGAAATCCTTTTACAATGCAGATGAAACTCTGTTGAATCAATGGGACCAACAGGTGGTTGTGCCATCCGGGCAGCAGCAGTACTGACAGAGAGTGTGAGTGCGTAAACAAGTGGGACAGTTACAGTATCCAGCTAAGGAGTGCACACACACACACATACAAGATCTATATACATGTGTGGAGTGTATAAAGTAGTGTTCTTTGTACATCTGTGTGTGTCTGTGTGTGTGTATAACCAGTTTTAACCCATGTCTGCTCGTAGTGTTACTCAGTGCTTAGTTGTCGGCGGCTCCGGTCGTGAACAGGACTCTCTGGTCGGTTCTGGCCAGCTTAGCAGGTGGCTCCAGAGACTCGTCCCCGAGCACAGCCACATCGGAGGGAAGGGACAGCTCCTGACCTTCATCATCGCTCTCATCATCCTCTTCCTCGTCTTCCTCTGGAACACACACGGGTATATGAGGATGAGTCAGTGTTGCAGCTTTGGTTTGTTCTCTAGCTTTAGGTTTGTGACACTGCTGTGTTTATTTACTGAGTAAAAATTCTAGGTCACTGTTTGTGTACAGTAACAAAGGGTAACATTTTACTACTTTATTACATACACATGTAAGCAGAACTTAATACGCAGTAGGTGAAAGCATAAAAAAGGTTTCCTGCATCGACATGTTTACTCTGTCCGTCATTTTTCAGCCTAATATGACGTGAAGTTTGTCAGGTACCAAGAACACCCAACATTTTCTGAGACTCTCAGAGTTCATCTGACTTAGGAGTGCTCATGTTAACTCTCCCAGTCAGGAAGTTAGTTAGCAGTCAGTTGATTACCACACCACCTGGATGCAGGGTTAGATTGTGAAGCAGCAGAAACACAGTGTAGTTACCTTTATCAGGATCCAGTTGGCTTAGACCCCGACCCAAACTGGCAAACTAATGGAAAGAGGGGAATATAATGGAGTTATAAATATGTCACACATCATTTATTTCTGAGTGTGTGTTTTGTATGAGAGTGTTTGTACCTCTCCCATGACAGCAATGGGAGTCTCTCCTTTGGCTTGGGCCACCCTATGCTCGATCAGGTAGTACATGTATTCATCATACAGCAGGCGGATCAGGTGAAAGGAACCAAAACTTGCGGCACTCCTCAGGGTCAGGTCTCTGATCACCATGGAGCTGAAGAGCAGAGACGGAGACAAATATTTCTCTGTGACTACCTCACTTCTTCTCTCAGTCACAATAAGAGAGGGCTTAAAAGGCTGCTAATAGAAAGCAAATGTTGCTGCCTGTTTTATGTTAGACATCTAAACTCCTCCTATCACACCTGTAAAAGGACCACTTCAGCAGGAAGAGCTTGGCGGCCTTGGGGAATGCGGGGCTGTGCTGGTAGGGCTTCAGGACCTGGGACACCACGCTGTCGAGCCACGCCGCCCACTGTTCAAGAGAGTTCTGCTGCTGGAGGGTCAGCTTAAAGTCCTGCTCCAGCCGCTGGACGACACGGTCCTCACACCTGCACACCCATGAAGCCTGCTCCTGAAGAAGATGGATAAGGAGGAAATTGGGGAAATTGTCAGTATAAGACCAAGCTTGTTGCATTTGTTTACCAGCAGGGAGCAGAAGGGGTGAACTTGGTGTTTTCATAAAACACTCTTTAACACAAGACTAAGGTCGTTGTGCTCAGAAAAACTTCCCCTGCTAAAATGTCTTCATGCAAGACAACAAATCACTATCTGGTACATGTGTCTGTGTTACTTAGAAAGACAACTGGTTTCTGATAAAAAGCTGAGTGGGCTTGGTTTACATTTCCTGGGTAGAAGGGTTGCAGGAAATACAGATTTATTATCAAACTGACTCATAAACCGTCTGACACACGAACCTCAGAAAAACAAAAGAAATAACGAAATTGCACAACCTAAAAAACCTTTGCATACTTAAACCAAGAACACTGAAATTCATGGAGGTTGACAAGAGCGCTGCCGGCGTGAGCAAGGGTAAACAAACCTGGACGTTGGCAAAGTCAACGCGGTTGAGGTCAGAGAGCATCTGGTTGATCTGGGCCGTGTTCTGGAGCACAGCGCGGGCTGCTTGTGCGAGGTGGTTTAGACTGGTGTAGCGACGCAGCGTCTGAGCAAATGCATTTGCAGATGTTACCTGAGAGAAAACCAGGGGGAAAGGATGCAAGGATATTAAACATGTATTTCACATGAATGCATGTATTGCATGTATACATACAGATTTTCTCTAACAACATTATGTAACAGGGTTTTTGGGCTACTTGAGTTGAGCAATGCATGTTCAGCTCTGGCTTTGAGCTTGTGAAAGAAGCATGCCATTGACTAGTGTACAAGGACTATTTTTCACAATGACCACTGCAGATACATGACATTGTCAGGACCAATACTCTCAGTAACAAATTGCATTTACATCGAGAACAACAATCACAAAGAGACTGTTTCCATGAGAAGTCATTTCTGTTTTCTTCTCTAAATGGTCGCAAAATCAAGTTTGAAATGCATCTATGTTGATTTCCATAAAAGCTGCACCACAGAGGTGCAGTTAAAAGCCCAGGTTCAGCTTCAGGTTTATTTTATCGGTAGGTAAATTTGGTTGCAGGGAGAGTCACTTAATAAAACACAGACAATACATAAACAACTGAGTTAGATGTAAAACCACAACAAGAGGAACACCCAGAAACTAAATGTTTTCAAACTTGTTCAACAAGTGATGATCCTGCAGGCCTCTAACACGGCTTGCTCCATGGCTCAGAGATTTTGTTTTCCATCAGCTGCAGGCTGGAAAGAGAGTGTACCTTGATGCGGACCATTTCCTCAGGGATGTTCATCATGGCATTAGTCAGCCAGCTCTCCAGACTCTTGGCAAAGTTGCGGATGGCTTGAGTTAAGGCACCTGGAGGCAGCAAGTTAAAAGGATAGGCATGATTAATACATGTCCTCCATCCCTCAGTGGACATGGCAAAGCTTCTTCTGGAAAAGCAGTGATTGTGGGCATGTATTATGTAAACACATTTTCAATGTGATTCCAGTCTACATGAAAAACACAGAACTCAGAACATGGAAAATATGTTTGTGTTCAATGCAATAAAATAAACCGAAACTGAAATTATTACATTTAATTTGCTGTTTGAAAATTTCCACAGCAGAGCAGTTGGCACAAAATGAGGAAAAACCTTGTACTCTCCCATGATAGAGCCAGCAGCGACAGCTCAAATGTTCCAACCAAAGAAGAAGGCTGTCACAGAAATGTCTTGTTGATCTTTTTTCTCTCATTTATTGTGAATATAGGTCCAGAAAAGGTTGTAGAGTAGCCTCTCCTCTGTATACAAATTGTTCTGTGTTTTACTACGCTTTTTTGATGACAGAGCCTTACTGGGGATTGGCCTGAGGACATCAGGGATGAGGATTTCCACCAGGCCCTGGTACAGGCTGTTGTCACAGTCACGACTCCAGCGCAGTACTGGATCGTACTTGCACAGCAACACCAGGCAGGACTTTGGGAGGCGCTTCTCTGACTCATCGTGACTGCAAACACACAACAAAGCACACAGACACATACAGTTTTAATAACCTGCATTTGATAAATAATAGAACTGGTGCTGAAATAGTGGATGTTTTTTTTGTGCGTCTTGAACTAAAAACTGTATTTTGAATGTGTGCACACAAGTTTTGAGCACTCACACAGCCAGCGTGGCGTCTCCAGCCTGATTCTGGCTGAACCTCCAGAAGGTTTTCCACAGAGTTTCCACCAGGGTAAACTGCAGGTTGACCATCACATCTAAAATTGCCTGAAAAGACACGAGCAATTAAAAATGGTCCGAAGCTCAATTAGAGAGCAACAAAAAGAGATCTCAGTTTTCATGTTTGTATTATTGTTTTCAAAGTAGTTTCTCATCCTCAACTAAAAGCAACCTCATCAATACACAATGGGCATCCGCTAACTGACTGATGCCCTCTCCGTCGGTTACCTCGCAGTGTTCTCTGTACAGCAGCTGAAAGCTCTTTATGTGCTCCAGCTCGATGCCCTCTGGCAGAGCCTTCCCCTGGAGGTCGATGTCTGGGAACTCTGGGAGAGCTCTTGATGCATCTAAGACAGAAATAAAGACAATCGATACTTGATGATTGAAGATTCTATACAGATTTTATATATGGACTAACTTCAAAGTTATATTTGAACAATATGTGGTACAGTATTGTATTTTAAATGTAATACCATAATACAAGACATATTTTTAATCAACACTTATAACTGTAACTGTTTGTTAACTCACCTAGGAACTGCTGGTACTGCTGAACCTGGGTGCTGATGTCCACCTGCCCAGACCCCTGCTGCTGCTGCTGCTGACCTGCTCCTGCTGCTGTCCCATTGGTCATCCCCTCCACTTTATGAACAGGCTTCAATCTGAAAAGAAAATGGGTGAAGCACATAAATAAATTACACAAAACACTCAGATCTACTCAAGGATGGCAGATAATGAGGTGAAAGAAATTGGCAATTTCATGTTATCAAGAACTAGATGCCTTGACCTGTGAGAGTATTTAAAGACAAATATTGTATACAGTGTGAGACACTTTGTTACAGTGGCATAACAACACACACAGGATGTGTGTGTACCTCTGTTTCTGTGAGAAGGGCTGCTGCCTCATAGCCAGATGTTGCTGGTCTTCCATCAGACGGAGGAGAGAAGAGCCAGCCTTAATCCTCAGCCCATAATAGTGGTATTTAGAATTACCCCTGTCAAGAACAGATAAAATACATTTTCACATCAAACTGGGCCTGTGTCGGCTTGTCTGCTTCTCATGGGAAATATATAAGAGGACAGAACGGGAAGCTGTGAGGGAAGATGGTTCATGTTGTCTGCAGAAAACACTGGTTTCTCCGCCAAAGCTTCATACATACACAAACCCATTTTTAACAAACATTTCCAAAAAGTCAATCTCACTTGCTCACCCTCCCCTCCCCTCCTTTGTCAAACTCACCCACACACATGCTGTCTGTCTTCATCTCTTCCCACACTGCTCCCACACTTACAAAAACGTTTTGCAATGTTACAGAGAGGTTTATGGATTTTCTCCATCGGTCTCCTGCAGGGAACTTTGTATGGGTGTCCACTAGTTGAGATGAATAGGCATGTATATGATACAGTGCATATGAAGAGGGTAAGCTGCTAACGCGTGCTGACTCCGTGGGGAAATGTGCTGTGTCCCTCTGTCTGTGATTCCATGTTTTTACTAACAAGACTTTTAAAATAATGTGGACAAAGGGGCTAAAAAAAGGGAATACGACTTATGATGTCTTACCGTGTGCCCAGGCGACGTGTGCGAAGCCCCATAAACACAGATCTGATGAGTTTCCCAAAAGAGGCAGCATTAACGGGCTCCAGTTTCTGCTCCTGGCAGTGCAGCAGGTAGTGGCAGTACAGGGTTGAACGTGGCAAACTAACTCCTTCAGCTGTCTCATAGTTGTCCAGCAACCACTGTACCTGGCAGGCAGGCAATGAAAAAAGAAGAAGGTAGCTGGAGCAATTAGCAAAGCCAGTAGTAGATACAAACAGCAGAGAAATCCCCGTAAGATGACCCGCCTGAGTCAGAGTTCATGCACAGACAATCCTCGTATCAACAAATCATAAAGGCACAGACTATTCACAATAAAATCATCCATCAATTGAGAATGAAAACACAAGCGTGCCGTGGCATACAACTTTGGTATGCAATGAATAAATGACCTGGAATATGGAATGTTTCCAAACATACGTTGGTTGTCATTTTCATATGGCGTTCAATAGGATGAATTTGGGATGAATCATATGTTGTTGGGGCATTTCAGGCAAATTGGAAATTGTCACATGCACTGTAATGATATGAACATGATGAGGCCATAGTTTTTTTTTGGTTTTGGGAGGAAAACACAGTTAAAAATACTCTTTGTGACAAGTTTTATTTTCATGAAAACACAGCTGACTAACATCTCCTTTTTCTGACGTGATTGAAAACATTTTTAATTGTGCTCTCCTCTCAACCAAACTATGGCGTCATCAGCGTGTGCCATCAAAGGGTTGTGTAGATGAGAACAAAAGAAGAAGAAATTCCTGCACTTGGCGCCTCTGCATACCTTCTTGTCTGCCGACGGCACGCTACTCTCCTCGCCCTCTGTAATACTCACGGTGGCTGGAGAGGCGCGGGCAGTGTGTGAGTAGTTCTGGCTGTTGCCAGCTGCACCCCCGCTGCCGCTGCCCAGCATGTAACCCCCCTGGATGACATAGCTGCCGGCTGCGCCACCATTTGTGCCTGCCCCATCCCCTGCCCCATTGGTGGTTCCACCTGTGGTCACCACTGTGGCCCCGCCCCCTGCTGCACTTGTGGGCTGGGCCACAAACATGGAAACCCCACCTGCTGTGCCAGCAGTCACAGAGACAGTGAGAGGTGTGCCAGGGGTGGAGGCCTGGGAGCCTGGGGTTGTCTGACCTTCATAATACTGGGCAGCTGTGGTCTGGGTATACAGCGGGGTGTCAGTGTAAGGGAAGGTGCCGGAACGACTGAATAAGAGACATGAGACAATGATGTATTAGTATTAATGCAAAATTATGGAGACATTGTATTGTCGGCAAAGCAAACTCTCTCTCGAGACGTGATGTAGATTGAAGATCTGTTTTATTCTTACATGGTGCTAGTGGTGTAGCTGGTGTCTGTTCCTTCAACATACTGCACCTGATTGGTGTACACATGTTGCACTGGTGTGAGCTGCTGCTGGACCTAAAAAATGATGCACACAAATCCCCCCAAAAAAACATGGTCAGCCTTGTTAGACCTTATCAACTTTGTCATCCCCTGAAAACTCTTGAATTTTTCATGTACTGCTTCATGGTTATGACTTTTGGTTATGTTTTTTTTTTTTATAACAATAACTCTTTCCAGTGTAGTTACTGTGTAATTTTCCATTATTGAATTTTTTATTTAACTGATGTAAATATGTTTGATTTGATTTTAAACTTCTATTTTTATTTTTAATAATGATATTCCCGTCCCCTGTTTTCTGGAGCGGCTGTAATGCACAAATTTCCCCCACGGGGGCTCAATAAAGTTTATCTTTATCTTTATCTTTTATGACCCACAACAGTGTACACATATTTTTAGCTACAGATAGATTCTGTTCCCTTTACTCTGTAGCAGCAGTCTCCCTCTTGTCCCTGACCTACTTGGATAGTTGCAGTTGTAGCCTGCAGGGGCAGGCTATCAGGGCCTGTGACTTCAAGGTGGCCTCCTATCTCTTTGTCTGCGTGGACAAAAGGCAAGTACGTTGATTGGTAAAACTGAAGAAGTTCCATGGGGATATTGAAGGGGATGTAGACTGCTTTTCCACAGCATTCTTTAATATGGTGTCCTGATGCATCGGCCTGGTACTCTGGCTGTCCTATCTCGTGCTGCAGCTGCCTTTCTTCTAGATTGCTATCCCTGACTAATGCTGTTACCTCGGTGATACAGATGAGCTGGAAGCCAGCACAGGCAGGTATGACCACAGATATGATTTGTGAACTAATGCTATTATGAATACACAGACACTGACTGAGTTACAGTGTGTTTGACTTACCTCTGGACTGATGTGAACAGGCTGCAGACTGGTGACACTGAGCTGGGTGCCTGGCTCAGTCTTGGCTATCTGAGAGGTGGCCTGCACCACAGACCTCTGTTTAGATAAAGAAATGAATTCACTCAAAGAGTAAAGAAAACATTAAATGTTTTGCTTTTGTTTGCATTCCCATTTCACCTGTTGAGCTGCCTGCACCTGCTGAACAACCTGCGTGGGGACACCTGTCTGCACCACAGCTGGAGGGGGACTTGAGTCTGACACACTGTCACTTGAGTGAAGGGAGCCCTCTAAAAAGGAAAAAAAGGTATTAAGATTGTCATTTATGTACAGTATATTATGCACTTTTTATCTTTACTTCATATTGTTCTATAATTAATGATGTTGCATTTCTAATAGTTCTGTTTTGGAGTTTTGTCAACATATGAAAAGCCTTTATATTTAACTACATTTGAAATACATTGACCAGTTGGTGAAAGACTTTTACTTTCTCACATTTTAGTTCACCACTTGTCTCAAACTTAGTCCTGATAATAAGGTACTGAACTAATGTGCTTATTAAAACATGTCAAAGTATCGTAGCTCTACACAGTAACAACCTCTAAATCTTCTTCTTCGTCTGATTTTTTTAAACAATTATATGATGAGTAACTGAAGAATGCCTTCATAAAGTTAATGACTGTGCCAGAGTATTTATAAGCCCTGAGCTGACCCAGTCTACATTAGTGCCTATGGAATATGGTAAGTGCTGCTAATCCTTACCTGTGACTGTAACAACAATGTACTGAGGAGTGCTTTGAGAATTTCCCGACTCTGTAGGGGAGCCCTGGATCTCTGCAGTCACATACTGTGTCTGAGCTGGCTGGGCCTGTGCTGCTAACTGGGGTTGACTTCCAGCTGCTGGCTTTTGAGCGGTGATTGAGGCATCTTGATCAGTGTGAGTAGTTTGGCCTGTGGATGTGATGATGGTGGGTGTGGACACAGCAGTCTGAATCTCAGCCAGAAACTGAGGGGCAGTGGGAGGGTTGGAGTTGTCGTCAGGTTGCCCCGATGTGACAGTAATAATAGCCCCCTGGGTTTGGGCTGCTGGTTGGATCTCACCTACATAGCCTGAGGTGGCCATAACAAGAGCTGGGAATCACCCTAGTGAAAAAAGTGAATAGAAATTAATTGAAGGTAAGTATGAGGATGCTCTAAATCTGTCCATATAGGATTCATCTTAGAACTGGTTTGATTGACTGACTGATCCTTTACATAGAGACGGGGAGGGCATGGAGACCTACCTAGAGCAATGGAGGATGTCACACAACAAAATGTTAAGAATCATATCTTATAATAAAGCATACGTTTATATACAAACTGAAGTACAAAGTAATTAATGAGTACTTTGGGACATAGAGTGCACTTTGGAAAATGAATTGGGCAAATGCTGGAGGTGAGTCAAACTATGTTTGTTGCAGGATTTTGTTTTTTTACAGTGTAAGTTTAAATAAGTGATCTGATTCTCTTCTCCTCATCATTTTTTCTCATGAGTTTTATCTGTGGTCAACCATTGATTTCCTGGACACAAAGTAGTATTACTACTCTCTGAATTATTTGTCTTGATGTAAGTTCATTAGTTAAAGAGCTGTTTGGTAAAATACTACAAAAGCTGACCTGTTTGTGCTGCATCTTGTGTGGGGGAGGCGCACTGACAAGAACAAGCACTCTAGTGTCTTATTACCTGTAATGTGATCACACATCCTATGGCCATTTACAGAAGAAGCACAAGTTGGGAAAGTCCCTCACCACATCGCTGTTTGTGGCTTTGCAGACAGGTCTTATGCTTCATTTCGCACAGTTCCTTAGAAATTACACGCACACCTTTTACTAATTGTGTCACACAATTTGTGTGACATTGTAAATCATTCTTTCCTAAGCAAACCAATCAGTGAAATCAGAACAAGGGCTACATCAGGTGGAAACAGTAGAGCACCAAAACACAGAACTACATTTGGACAGTCATCCTTCTCAGTTAGAGAAACACATTAACAATCTGAAATTATAAAACTGACAGAGATCAAGGTTTTTAGATAGTCTGTGATTATTGACTGTTTCCTGTAACAGTCCTCATTTTAATGTTTGTTCTTATTTAGTCTCTTATTTATGGAGTTTTCCATGTCTACATTTGAAAAGTATCACTAGCTATGTATTTCTTTAAGGCTAATGGCTTCTGTTTTAATCCTAAAAGCCTGACCCGGGACTAGGGCTGGGTATTTCCCACAACCCACAATACGGTATCACGATAAAGATGCTACGATATGATAAATATCGTGAGGTACATTGATTTTGGATAATGACCATGCTCTACACAGAATTCACCACAACAGCTGTTCTTTATTGTTGAGAATAAGAACCGAGGTATATGGATCCTACAACTTAAAACACCTCAATTCCGGTCCTCAGAGATCCGAGAAATACGTTTACATATTTCTATGGATAATGTGGTGTTATTGTGAACTGCATCACAGGTCAATTGTCTTTCAAAACTGTCATCATGGTTTTACAGCCATATCGATTCTGTAACATCTGCAGCGATATTTGTATTTGCAAGGAGCACATGACGATATAATGCCATGTCGATATTTTGCGCACAGCCCTACCAGAGACAGGGGTTGGAAATTAGCCCGGGCTAGAAATCTGCTATGCATGGCATCTACTTTCTATTTTATATATGAAGGAATGTTTATTGAATGTGTCCCAGATCTTCAAGACAGGGCAGAGTAAGGGGATGTAATGACCTACATATTAGGGCTGGGAAATATATAAAGTTTTTAAGATATATCGATATATTTTCAAACAAGATATAGGGTAAGACAATATCGTTAATATAAATATAGTTTAGGTTGCATTAAAATAATGTTACAGAGGTGCCAGGTCGCCTTTTTCTCATCTCACTGATGATGACTGACTGTCTGTCCCTCTTCACCCTGCTCCTCCTCTCTCTCTCTTTTATTGTATTTAAGGAACATTTTTATTTTATAATATTACTTTTTAAATTCACAAACAGGTACTTTATTTTCCATGTGTTTTACTGTTTATAAAATACAATATCGATATATATCGAGTATCGCCATTCTGCTAATCAATATCAAGATATGAGTTTTGGTCCATATCGCCCAGCCCTACTACATATTATGTGTGTTTTTAATCAAATGAGGTATCATTATTACCTTGGTAGTAAATTATAAGTCACCTTATTATACATGTTTTTAACTGTAGTAAATCAGTGAATGAACACGTCTAACTGAACTGGGATATAAACAGCACCTTCGCCACGCCCATCTGCTTAAATGTCCGACACCTGCTCCACCAACTACAACTTCCCATGTCCGAGAGCGATAAATCAGCTGTATTTGTGTAGTTCTTATTCTGCATAGAGGTTAACACTGACCCTGAAATGTCAAAATGATAACACTTTAAAGCTGACTACCACTATTTGCTCTCCTGTTCCGTGTAGTTCACATGATGTGCTCGGTGAGTTAAGCTGCGTGTAACGTCAAATACTGCCGTTTGAATTACCGTCAAAACAGAAAAGTGACCGTGACTGTTAACTCGAACCGTCAGCCGGTAAAAAGCAACGAGCACGCTTCTGTCGTGACAGCACCGATGCTAGCTGTGTAGCAGCAGGCTCACTGGGCTCTACAACAACCGCCATTTTGTGCCTTTTGCATTTGACATCGCCATAACAACGGCCTGCTTGAGTATGCATCTGTGGCTGCGTCGTCATGGCAGGCACAATTCACTGTCACCGGAATGAGCAGCGGACACAAACTAGTCCCATTCAATACACGTACCCGACTCATAATCGGCTCGACGGTTAGCCTTAGCTTATCGTGTAAGGCAGTGCATGTTATGGCTACAGAAACAACAGGGGAAAAGAGCAATAGCACGATTCCGTTGAAGAATAATTTGACATAAAATACTTCCTGTATTTAAAAGCTTCACCTCAAATTCCACGTATGGGTTTCTCACCGGTAAAATATCTTCTTTTTTTATTTTTTATGGTGGATTCAGTTGTTGTTGTTGTTGATTCTCGTTGCTGGGTTCTTGTCGCCAGGGCTACCGTGGCTATGGCGCTTCGTCCTCACCAGGGCAACTGTTGCTACCCACCCGCTCCCTTCCCACCCCCTTCCTTGCTCTGATTGGCTGAATCCTGCCAAATTCTCTTAAAGTCACAGACACATCTTTTTCTTTTTTTTTTTCTTTTTTTTTACTACAAATCCTTCCACACCCATTTATGGAACACCCCTGTCCATCAACCGAATACAGTTTTTACAAATAAGGTGAATGCTAGGCTATTAAAAGTCATAGGTTCATCCAAGTGCTTGTCAAAACAGCAAATAATTTGACTTTCATATAAATTCTCCCTTAAATCTAAAGAAAAGTGGGATAGTCAATACACTCAATATATGCAGGCTAATGCATTTATCTTTGGTGATGATGGCCCTGTGTGTTTGCCTGGTAAATCCGAGCCCATTGCATCAAATAATCGTTGTTCAAAAGAAAAGTTATATTCAAGTCTTGGTTCTGAAACCTCCAGTTTGTGTTGTTCACAAACTTTTGAGTCGATGGGGCTAACTTTAAAAAAAAAAAAAGGTTTAATTTTGGGCTATCATGCCTTTATTTGAGAGATAAAACAGTAGACAGATGACAAGCGGGAAAGGAGCCACAGGTTGGACCCAAACCTGGAGCCACCCACCTAACAACCACAGCCTCCACACATGGTGTGCGCTCACCAACCACTAGGCCACCAGAGCCCCTCGATTGGGTAACTTTTAACCAATGAAATTTCCAAATTTCCAAATCCAGATAATTCGTGTCCAGATTAACCGTTTTAAACAACTGGATTATATTAAATTCTATCTCGTTGAATGAATGGACTCAGGAATCTTGACTTATTGGAAAATTATAACAACTATGCTATTTGTGTCTAAAAATATAAAAGTACAAAAGGATTGAAAAATAAAGAACAACATACCTGGACTTAAACTGCATCACCCTCCTCAGGTGTTCTACATATTGTTAACTAACTATCGGTGGCGGGTATTCCAATTTCTTGCTTTATAAGTAGCTTTTTGCAGTTTTATATTGGCTTTTGTCACACAGCAAAATGTTTGACACGGCTGCTGGGTATCCTACTAAGAGACTAAATTAAATCATAATAATACTGTCTTACAAGTAATAGTGTAGGACTGTATAGTATATTGTTCTGCAGTATGCGTCATTGATATATTTATAAAAAAGGGTACGCCATTGCATTTCCATATTGCCTCTGTGACCTCAGGAGGTCTGATACTTTGTGTAAACGAATGTCAGAGAGGACAGCCTCCTTAAATGCCATTTGTTTGCTTGTTGTCGTCACGCTAATTACAAATTCACCACCTTCATTGTAATTCCCTAAATGGGTGACCTTTGACTGTGGATACACAGATAAAAATGTGCTTTATTTTTGTCTGACTCATAATAAGAATTCTATGTTATCTGAAATTTGAAATGTCACTGGAAGGGTCTCAGTCCTCTTGTTCACCTTTTGGCAAAGAGATGAATAAACGCTTAGAGAAATACAGGGTTTTCTCTCGATTACATATAACAATAATGCAATGTACGTATATAATTGGGATGTTGAATGACGGTAATGACAAAACAACGGCCTGAATATACCTTTGGTCTCATCAACAACTGTTAAATGTTATTATAGTAAATTGGGTGACATGCCTATAGGCCTAAAAGTTTAATTTGATGTCTTCAGGCAGTCAGTTGGACATATTGTTATTGCTGATATGAAATTCAATCTATCTTGCAAAACAATCAGTATACGTATGGGGAGGGCGACTTTGGTATCTGTGAATTAGAAATTAATGGTGCCACATTATAGCAAGAGAAATGGTGTCCCATGGTGAAGCATACAGACGCATACACGGTTGTTATTAGCAATAAAGGTTTATGGCACATTGGTGTCATGAGTGTCAAAGACAAAGAGGAGGACCCACGTGCAAATAAAGGAAAATGTTTATTAATACAAAAAAAGCAAAAGGCAAAACCAAAAGCTTTGTTTTTTCAGATGTCCAAACTAAAGTTCGTCAAAATCTAAATAAAAATCCAATAGTAAAAATACCAGAGTCAGGGGGAAGTCAACAGCACCTGTTTTCAAGTTGTATTGACTGCATAATGTTGAGGGACATTAGGTGGCCAAAGTGCTGCTCATGCTGCAACACAAGTATATCACTGGGGGTTAACATATTCATTAAATCTGCCACCTTTGGTCTCCTTTTTGTCTTCATAAAGGTCTCTGACTGTATCTCTGTTTCTAATCGGTTCCTCTCTCTCTGAGTAGGCCTGTATGCGCAGTTTGCATGTCTGCCTGACAGGACTCTAAACCCCTTTATAAACCACGCCTGGGTCACCTAGAGAGTCACAGCTTTGCAAAAAGGGAGACAGAAAGCCAAGTGCTGCTCAAAGCAAATCATCTCTTGTCTTTCTGATTTGCTGTTTTTTATTTTTGGGTGCCATGTGGAAAGCTGTTGCACTGGTGGTATGTGTGCTGGTGGCCGGGGTTCAGCCCCTGGAAGAGCCATCGTACGGGGTGAAGCTCTGTGGCCGCGAGTTCATCCGGGCGGTCATCTTCACATGTGGAGGCTCACGGTGGAAACGGTCCCTCAGGAGTGCAGGTAAGAGGCTGAGGGTGCAACACATTCCCAATTTCTGACCATGTCTCTTTATATGTAAGATGTTGGCTTCATCTGGTGATGTAATCATAGAATAAGGTGAAGACATTTCTTCTTATTGTATTTGTTTAATGTATTTTATCCTGCACTAATGCCAGGAAATTGATAATTCTATGTTCACCTTTGAATTAATAGTCTTTTCTGTCTTTACATTTCTTTGGTGAGTTGTGTGCAATTGTGCATAAAAGCCTGAGCAAATAATTAAATTAAAAATGAAATCACAAGTTCCAATAATCATTTTATTGTATGCTCATGTTTTTTTTATGGCAGTCACAGTTTACATGTATTCATTGCTATCAGAGAGCTATTTATCTCATTTAATGTCTTTAGTGGTGTTCGTTTAAATAGTTAGCAGTTTAAAAAAAAAAAATCAAACAATCCTGACATAATTCAGTAAACTTACCCATGTCCCTCCGGCTTGTGTCACTCACATGCTCCATCATTTCTACATTTGATTTTATACAGAAAATGATTAAACTGTTTCCCCTGTATTAGAGAAGCCTGCATGTTTTATGACGCTTCCTCTCGTTTCCGTGCAGCAGATTCTTCAGAGGACCCATTCAGCTCCCGTCAGGATGAATCCTCAGAGGGCGTGAGTCACAACTTTGTGGTGGAGGGTCTCCTCCAGGGGACCAGAGATTTAAGCATCACACCCAGAGACAACCAGGGGGACGTGTTTAGCAGGAAGGCCCGTTCTTTCATCACAGAGGAGATCCTGGAAGCCCTTCGCAAGGCTGACCGCAAGGGCCGGGACGTGGTGGTGGGCCTGTCCAACGCCTGCTGCAAGTGGGGCTGCAGCAAGAGCGAGATCAGCTCCCTTTGCTGAGAGACCCCCACACCCTTCATGTGAGAGGGAAGACACAGGCAGACGAATATGTGTACAACACACATTTATACATCCGCACTTCTGTTTCACTCTTTATATATCAATCAAATGTCTTCAGTGAAACTGTTAAACAAAAGTTTAAATTGTTGTTTTATTTTGAGTCTGAATGAATGGAAAGGGCTGCTTGTGTCCATAAAGTTTCTGTGTAATTTCTGTGAAATAAAACTCATTTTTGGCTTTTTACATATCATTCAGTTGTTTTTACCTTCTTATATTTTGCTCGACTGTCTGAAATGTGAGCACTAAGCAACATTTAGCAAAGTTACAGTGGCAAGAAAAAAACTGCGTTTAGGAGTCAGAAACCGCAAGCAGAACCGGACTCATGTTGAACGGACGTCTGCTGAAACTACGCTGGGCTCAAAGGCTTTAAATATTTAGGCTGGGCTCGTAAACTGGGATAGAGGGAGATGTAGAAAGAAAGAGATGGATAGAAACAAACAGAGCATCAACAACAACAATGAATACAACAGACGTGACTCTCAAGATTATGTATGTTATTAATCTTGTGTTTGTATAATTCCTTATACACACCAGTAGTTTGCGTGATAGAAATTCATACCACCACTATTTTACTGACAGTGCTTTGTGTTGTTGTTGTTGTTGTTAAGGCTATTCTAAGTTTCATGGTAAGTAAAAGTACTTCATAGTACCTGTGCATGTAGTCTAAGAAGTACTAAGTCCAACCATATCAGAATCATTGTGTACTTATGGAGGAAAATGTTTTTACAAGACATCAAAGTCAGAAAAAAAGGCTCATTATAGTGATTTATAAGGGACTTTGACAGTGGATTTCTCAGAAAGCACACAGTAAAAGTACTTCATAGTACCTGTGCAATATCAGAATCACTGTTTACTTAGGTAAGAAAATATATATAATTATTGTTTTCTCCAAAAAAACTGTTTTGTTTTGTTTTTTAATTGTGAACACCTTATTTTGAAAAACGGAAGTTACCGCAGACTCGCAGTATTATTCTCACACTAACTTCCCCGACCTCCGAAGCTATTCCCTGAACAGTATTGTGTTTACTCCCGTTTCATACACGTGTATCTCATAGTCAGTTTTATGGTAAGACCTAGACATTTAGCACTTGACTTCATCGCTCTCTCTGTCTGTTCCTCCTGCTCGCTCTGGAGTCCGGAGCATTTACCATAAAGATCAGAATACGTGGGCACTTGAAATTTAGGGGCGGCTCACTTCACCATGTAAACTCAAGGAGCGGCTGACTTCTTGTTTGACATTTTATAAATATGACCACTGATGACTGACTTGTGCTCTTAACTTCTGTAGTTTCTAATACCATACGAACCTGGAAGTGTTTTACAACTTGACAAAGTCAGCTGGTTTAGGTATCATAATATTTTGTTGTAAATCCCCTCGCATAGTTTCGCGCACCTCGCCGTACTTCCGGTGCCAAACTGCGCAGGCGCGTACGATCGCTAACATACGTCATCATTGTGTCAACAGGGTTGAGTAGACGCTTTGATGTGTGACGTAACAATCCATAACTCGCTTATAATTAGATTTAGGATTTTCAGATCAAGATTGTGAACAGACAGTCAAATTTATCAGAATAATTATATCCCTTTAACTGAACCCAGAGAAGTCCATCATAGCGAACAGTCATGAAATCAAACAAAAAGAAAGGAAGGAAGGGGAAAACTTCAAAAAGCTCTCAACAGAAAAAGTCTAATCTCAAACAAAGCACAATGGATCCATCTAACATGGAAAAGGAAGCAGCATCTTTAGCTCCTAGAGACAAAAATGATATGGTGAAAGAAGACGAGGAAGCATTAATTACCCCAGAAGAATATACCGAATGGCTAATCCAGGATGCAATGAAGACGGCCTTCGAAGGCCTCCAAGAGATAAAAGAGAAAGAAGCCATGTGGGAAGCCGAAGGCATAGACTATGAAGAATACTGCCGGAGGTTGGATGAGTATTATGATGAGTATTATTCAGCCCGTGAGATGGAAGCTGAAAATCTAACAAAGTGTAAGGCTAGGTTTCTTATTTGGAGGAAAAATAAATCAGAGAAAGAGAAAGTTCCTGCAACTTCGTCCTCCACCGATTCAATTGTGAAGCCTGAGGTCATGGTGGAAGAACATAGTAGAAATAACACACCACCTTCTGCAGAGGTTAGAGAGATGAGATTTAGCTCTCCCCTTCCTAAAGATTCATCTCCATCCACCTCAATGTGCTCCAGTGAGGTTGTAACGATCGACACAAAGCAGGGGATAATTAATTTGGACACAACTCCGTCCCTTTGCAATCATTTGGAAATGGATGAACTTTTTGAGTTTGCTAATACAGAGGAAAACTTTGCTGAGCAAGAAGACCCGAGCTCTGCCCTTGTGGAAGCAGCATCTTTAGCACCTAGAGACAATTCCTCTACCCAGACTGATGCTCCTGTCCAAGACAAGACCAAGGATATGTGTAGAGAATCTGAAGAGAAGAATGACAAAAATTATATGGTGGAAGAAGAAGAGGAAGCAGAAATTGACGCAGATGAATATGCCGTATGGCTCCTCCAGGACGCAATGAAGACGGCCTTAGAAGGCCTCCAAGAGATAGACGAGAAAGAAGCCATGTGGGAAGCCAAAGGCATAGACTATGAAGAATACTGCCGGAGGTTGGATGAGTATTCTGATGAGTATTTTTCAGCCCGCGACATGGAAGCTGAAAATCAAACAGAGTGTAAGGCTAGGTTTCTTATTTGGAAGCAAAATGAATCAGAGAAAGAGAAAGTTCCTTCAACTTCGTCCTCCACCGATTCATTTGTGAAGCCTGAGGTCATGGTGGAAGAACATGTTAGAAATAACACACCACCTTCTGCAGAGGTTAGAGAGATGAGATTTAGCTCTCCCTTCCTAAAGATTCATCTCCATCCACCTCAATGTGCTCCAGTGAGGTTGTAACGATCGACACAAAGCAGGGGATAATTAATATGGACACAACTCCGTCCCTTTGCAATCATTTGGAAATGGATGAACTTTTTGAGTTTGCTAATACAGAGGAAAACTTTGCTGAGCAAGAAGACCCGAGCTCTGTCCTTGTGGAAGCAGCATCTTTAGCACCTAGAGACAATTCCTCTACCCAGACTGATGCTCCTGTCCAAGACAAGACCAAGGATATGTGTAGAGAATCTGAAGAGAAGAATGACAAAAATTATATGGTGGAAGAAGAAGAGGAAGCAGAAATTGACGCAGATGAATATGCCGTATGGCTCCTCCAGGACGCAATGAAGACGGCCTTAGAAGGCCTCCAAGAGATAGACGAGAAAGAAGCCATGTGGGAAGCCAAAGGCATAGACTATGAAGAATACTGCCGGAGGTTGGATGAGTATTCTGATGAGTATTTTTCAGCCCGCGACATGGAAGCTGAAAATCAAACAGAGTGTAAGGCTAGGTTTCTTATTTGGAAGCAAAATGAATCAGAGAAAGAGAAAGTTCCTTCAACTTCGTCCTCCACCGATTCATTTGTGAAGCCTGAGGTCATGGTGGAAGAACATGTTAGAAATAACACACCACCTTCTGCAGAGGTTAGAGAGATGAGATTTAGCTCTCCCCTTCCTAAAGATTCATCTCCATCCACCTCAATGTGCTCCAGTGAGGTTGTAACGATCGACACAAAGCAGGGGATAATTAATATGGACACAATTCCGTCCCTTTGCAATCATTTGGAAATGGATGATGAAGAGGAACACTTTGCTGAGAAAGTAATGCTACTGAAAAATAGCTTTTGTATTATATTCAAGTCATTCTTTGACAGCCTTACTAAGAGGCAAAAAAATGATTTAAGCAGAGGCATATTGGACATGGAGGGGAAGAAGAAGCTGACCAGCATGTATGCAGATGTGCTGAGATTTTCCGTAGAGACAGTCGCTCCACTGTATTTTCATGATATCGTTTGCAACGAGTTGAACTTAGGTTTAGGTCATAGAAGGGCCAGTAAAATCTACAATGAAAAAATGGAACAGAATTTAAAAGGCTCCTTCAGCGAGGCTTTCTGGGAAGTGGTTGGTGCTGACGCATCGATCAGAGTTACTCCCACATTTGCAGAGGCTTTCCTCAATATGTTCACCAATGACGATGACTCCATTATCTTAAAGGCTATGAAAGATTTAAAACAACCCTTTGTTGTCCATTCTGGTACCTGTGCCAAGTGCCCAAACTGCAGAGCATGCAGAGGGGTGTTCAAAGGTGTCATAAGGACATTGAAAGATGTTCTCAAAAGCCTTTGCAAACAAATTGACACTTCAAGGAGCCACAGAAATGCAGATATCAAAAGTGAAGTCCCAGAGAAGAAGTCAGTCAAGTGGCGGAGCAATGAAAAGATCGACACAGAGCAGGGGATAATTAATATGGACACAACTCCGTCCCTTTGCAATCATTTGGAAATGGATGATGAAGAGGAACACTTTGCTGAGAAAGTAATGCTACTGAAAAATAGCTTTTGTATTATATTCAAGTCATTCTTTGACAGCCTTACTAAGAGGCAAAAAAATGATTTAAGCAGAGGCATATTGGACATGGACGGGAAAAAGAAGCTGACCAGCATGTATGCAGATGTGCTGAGATTTTCCGTAGAGACAGTCGCTCCACTGTATTTTCATGATATCGTTTGCAACGAGTTGAACTTAGGTTTAGGTCATAGAAGGGCCAGTAAAATCTACAATGAAAAAATGGAACAGAATTTAAAAGGCTCCTTCAGCGAGGCTTTCTGGGAAGTGGTTGGTGCTGACGCATCGATCAGAGTTACTCCCACATTTGCAGAGGCTTTCCTCAATATGTTCACCAATGGCGATGACTCCATTATCTTAAAGGCTATGAAAGATTTAAAACAACCCTTTGTTGTCCATGCTGGTACCTGTGCCAAGTGCCCAAACTGCAGAGCATGCAGAGGGGTGTTCAAAGGTGTCATAAGGACATTGAAAGATGTTCTCAAAAGCCTTTGCAAACAAATTGACACTTCAAGGAGCCACAGAAATGCAGATATCAAAAGTGAAGTCCCAGAGAAGAAGTCAGTCAAGTG